CGCAGCTACCTCGGCTTCCCTCGGCTTCTTTCGGTTTTCCGACACACCGACACGTAAATTTTGTTGTGTGCGAGGCGTGCTGGGCTCGAGAGAAGGGGTAGAAATGTTCCGCGATCTGGCTTCACTGGTTAGAGGTACTACGGAAGTCAAAGTTTATTAGTCTCGTGGCTTCATTGTGTTCGCACGTGTAGATCAGATGGTTTAAGTAAAATAAATTGTATTTTCGAAAAAATCATCATGCAGATTAATTTAAACACGCCAAATCTTTTTGAAATTATAGTGGGTACTTATGAGCAGTATTTACTTGGATATAAATTCACCAATATCGTTAATGTAAGTAATGAACTTTTTAAACAAATTTTATAGGTTATGGACGCTATTTTTAAAGCCGGTTTATCGGGAATGTTCTTACGTTATATTACATTTATTTTAATCTAACTTGTTTAGAATAATAAATTTATGTTTTTATTTAAAAACAATAGCTTGCATATTTAATACTCTTCGTTCTTTAATACAATGATTATTGATTATATTTTCCAAATATTGTTTCAGGAATATAAACTTGAGAAAAGTTTTGCCACGCATAGTCATTTGGGTAGCATAAGAAGTGTTGCTAGTAATAAATATTATTTAGCATCAGCAGGCGCAGATGAAACAATCTGTTTATATGATTTGCGCAATAGAATAGAATCTGGGAAATTGATGCATCATAATGGTACGCAATTGTATTTAATAATATTTCCTCTATTTATTAATCATTTATTTTATGAAAGTTTTTATTACTTTCCGTTTATAGATACTGTCAACAATGTTACTTTTACATCAGAAGCATCACATCTATTTTCCTGTAGTAAGGATGGAACAATAGCTGCTGTTAGATGCGGAAATTGGCAAATGCAGAAACATTGGATGAAACCACATAAAGGTTTATCTGTTCATACTTTAGCTATACATCCAACAGGGAAATTAGCTTTATCGACAGGAGCAGATGGTATTCTTAGAACCTGGAACTTAGTTAAAGGAAGACAAGCGTATGCTACAAATTTGGTACCGCGTTTAAAATCTGATGCTAAAGACATCACAGTTTTAAAGTGGAGTCCAAACGGTGAAAAATATCTTCTAGCAGCTAATCAACAGATCGACATATTCTCAGTACAGTTAGCAGGTATCGACCAGGAAGTACAATTAGATTCTAAAGTGGTATGCGTCGAATTTTTAAAAGATGACTTAATTGCTGTCGGTTTAGAAAATGGTCATATTAAATTTTATGATCTTGAAAAATTAGCTTATACTTTAAATATATTAGCGCACGATATTAGGATTAAATGTATGGCATACAAAGACGATTTGTTGGTAACCGCTTCTAGTAACGGGGAAATTAAACTGTGGAGATTTACCAGAAATAAAGTCGATATGTTACAGAGTATTAATTGCGGTGCTAGAATTACCTGTCTTACATTGGCAGAGTTGTATCAAAATGTAGTTCATAAAAAAGAAACAGATTTGAACATGGAAGAGAAAGTAAAAAACAAAAATAAATTTAGATTAAAACAGGAAGTTATTGTAGAAGATAATAATGATGATGATGATGATGATGATAATAGTCATGATGATGAAGATGATGACGATGATTGGGAAGTAACATCTGTTGATAATTCTAATATTAATCTAAGCATAAAGTCAAAGAATAATTCGACAAGTGCAGAATGGATAGAAACAGATGCTAATTCATCGGGAAAATTAAATACAAATGGACAATTAAGTAAAAATAATCAACGAAATAAACGAAGTATTGACTCAATAGAAAACTTTTCCCCTTCGCCAAAGAAGAAAACTTTAAATGAAGATAGAAATAATAATAGTAATAGTAGTAGTAATAGTAATAATAATAGTAATAGTAATAAGAAGAAGGATGTACATATTAAGAAAAGAAAAGTAGAAGAAACTGAGCAAGATGTTAGTAAGACATCTTTTATAAAGAGAAAAAAGACTATTAAGACGGACACAGAATCTGATAGTAAAGTTCAAAAAAAGAAGAAGAAAAATTGGTTAGAAGAAAGCAGTAAAAAAGTAAGTAAAAAAATAAAAGAGGAGGAACGCCCTGTACCGTCAAAAAATATTGCAAAAAAAGATACAGAATCCGTTAAGAAACGGGAAAAGTGGAAAATTGAGTCGTTAAAGGTAGAAGAAAAGAATAAAAAAATTAGTAAAAAAAGGAAAACTATAGAAGACGAATGTTTTGTATCGTCGAATAAGACGAAAAAAAAAAAGCAGTAACTTGTAGAAGTTAACTTATTTTTTTGTACGATATTTACAGTTGGTAAAATCAGATATGCAGATTATTATTTATAAGAGTAATAATAAATTATTCACTAGCTCCTATCAGTCTATATAAATATCTAGTATAATAAATTCTACAATAAATACAACAATTCGATGCTTCTCTCTCATCCAACACTGTTACAAACTTATAAATATATCTTCTAATTGAGTTAGATAATAAACAATTTACCACAAAATACATTTATGTTTTGGATTCATACGACTATTCGTAGAACATTTCCATGCTTTAGCAAATTCAATATTATTTGACAACGTTCCGATTACTCTGTAATGATTTGGTGCATGTACACCTTCTATTAGCTTAGATTTTAATGCTCCATTTGTATAATTTCCACACCAAACCTGAAAAAAGACAAGTTTATGTTATTCATTTGAACGATAATGATTAAGAAAAATTTTATTTATATTAATGATTTAGTAAAAAATTGTTTATTTAGAAATAGTCTAAATTATTTCATCAAACTGATGATACTAGTTGTAACATTTTCTATTAGAAAATAAATAGCAATGAATGTATAATAAAAAAATCATTGCTATTAAGATTTCGATAAAAAAAAAAAAAAATGAATTGTAATGAAATATTTACTTGTGCGAATCCTAAGAAGAACAATTGGTCATGAGTATATTCAGAAAGGCCAGGCAAAGCTTGCTGATGCGAATTGCGTGCTTTTAATTTTTGATATGCTCTATAGGCTTCTCTTATTCCACCGTTGTCAGCAATATTTTCACCCTGAGTTGTAATGCCATTTATCTGAAAAAAAAAAATATTATTAACGATTTGTCCTTAGTAAATTAGCCAATGTATGTGCCTTGGCACGTTTTGTTTTGGTATATTTTCAACGAGAATCTTACTTACTGTAAAATTGTTACCCAGCTCAGGAAGATGATAACTACTATACTGTTTGATGATACATTCGACTTTCTTATGATAATGTTGCAATGTCTCGTCGCTCCACCATTGCCTGAGATTGCCGTTTTCGTCGTATCTACGACCTGACATTAAAAAAAAGAATAGACAAATCAAATTCGTGTAATTTTTGTCGATTACTATAAATCAATGTGTTTATGACATTGATTGTACCTTGATCATCAAACCCATGAGTAAGTTCATGACCCATAATCGCACCCATTGCACCATAGTTTATCGATCTATATACAAAACGCTTATTATTTTTTATTACGCTAACGCTTGTTTTTTTTTTATTTAACATAACAGAAAATTATGTTTCTAATATATTTGAAAATAAAAACGATAGATTTAATTACAACACGCTTACTCTATTCCATTTCCATAGAAAGGTGGATGCAAAATGCCCGCTGGAAATGCTGAAAAATATATCAATTACATTAAATAATTGATTAATTATTAATTATTCATTTAGCATTAATATACTTACTGACTGAATTTAAAATAGCACTGTAAAATGCATTAACAGTAGTTCCAGTGGATACCCATCTATCTTTGTCAGGTTTTTCTCGTAAACTATTTAAATTTTTTTTAACACCCACATCCGTTAATTGTAGAAAAGTTTCAAACAATTTTCCTTCCATTACTTCAGCCTACAACAGTAATCGTTCGATGGATAATTAAATACTTTTTGTTTACTTTAAATTAAGATAAAAACAAACTTTGAACTTACACCTTCATAAAATTTATTTAATTTTTCTGGATTTGTAATCCATTTAGGAAAACCAACAAACGGTCTCATCGCGTATAATTTTTTGTGAGCACGTAATCTGGTTTCTGCATCCATCCATTCTAATTCTTTAACCATCGCATCGAATGCTGTTCTAATATCCATCAACATTTCTAAAGCCTAAAATTATCATTTAAATTATTATCCAATTATCTAAAAAATAATCATTTAATTTAATAATAAAAGAAAAAAACAGTTCATTTACTTTTTCTCTTTCCTGATCATTAAAATGTTCTTGAGCGTAAACGTAACTAAGAGCCATTCCAAAATTAGCATTAACATTTCCTGTACAACCTTTCCATCTGGGTGTTTTTTCTTTAAGCCCAAATACTTTTTGAGAAAATTGGAATCCAAGATCACGAAACTTTTGTAATGTGAGTGGAGAAATGGCGGAATATACGCTCCACCAGATAAAACGTGCTTAAATAATACACGAATAGTTTTCAGTTAAAAAAAGTTTTTCAAAAATTGATAGTCTGACTAAAATGAACGAATAATTGAAAACAATGTCACTAAATGTTGAGTAAAGGCAGTTGGATGATAACCTTTTGCTCTTTCTCTGTCCCCATTAGATTATGAGAATACGTTGTTTTAGCTCCACGATTTTTCATTATTTGCTTTTGCCTTTTTTTCAATGATAAGAAATAAACGTTAGCAAACTAGTATTTAAAACAACAATCCTTTTTTCACATTCTAACAATGAACTTTGTTAAATAATCCTTTCGAAAGATTTATTTGAAAAATACTTGACCTATATACTATTTCATGTATCTAATTTGTGATAGTGACATTTGTGCTGAATATTAAACTAACAATATATGATAGATAAACGAATGAATATTAAAGTGTTGAGACGAGCGTAGTTAGCTTAACAGTGATGGAGAAGATAAGTATACCTATCGTAGCGGGTGGAGTAATCGCAAGTAGTTGGGGCAATTTCTGTAAATAGTGTAGATCCATTACTATGACTCTATCAACTCCTGTGTTTATGGTCACGTTTGTATTATTAAATACATTTTCCAGATATTTCGTCCAGTTCCACTAAAAATCTTTTATATTATTTCTTTGCACATTTATAATGATTTTTTTGTTAATGGATGTGTATTACCTGTTGTACACGAAGATCAGTCAGCTCTTGTAATGTATCAATTGTAACGTCATGAAAAAGATGATGCACGCTACGTCTTTGTTCTGGTGTATCCATGATCTATGTAAAGATAATGATTGATCCATATAAGCAAAATCATCTTTGTTTAAAGTATTACGAGCAGTGGCGGATTAAGCGATAAACGGGCTACTAAAGAGTTCCGAAGGGGCCTTGAGGTCTTACAATTTTTTTTTTCATTAGAGTTTGAGGAAAATTACGTTTTTTTTAAATAAATTTAATTAACGTGTTATGGTATGAAATTTTTGATTAGTTTTCTGTTTTGTTAATAACTTAGTAGGAATATTTTTTCTAATTTGATTTTGAGAATCTCGAAATTTTTACCACTGGGAGCCAGTCCCCATTTAACTTGATCCGCCACTGATTACGAGAGTGGGTTGAAAAGTTTTGAGATTATATTGAAAAATATAAAATAATTGTTTCTATCTTAAGCTCCAAACTTTTTTCAATTCACTCACGTGGATAACTGATTGTACCTTGGCAATTTTTGTACTAAATTCTAAAATTTCATTAGCAAAACTTGTGCTTCTATTTCCAGCTCCAGCTAATTCCAACATGGCTTTGATATATTTTTTATATTCTCCTAATTCAGATTGAAAACGTTGAGGATCGAGGAGATATCGTTCGCTAAAAGCTGGAGATACTTGTTCCGTCTACCGCATAATAATCAAATAATATAATCGAGTTATTTTAAGAAAAAATTTCTCTTGGCAAATTTAAAAATACAATAATACTATCTTACCATCATTCGATTCTTCGTCGTATCTCGAATATCCTCGCTAATATAAAAATTGACCAACAGATTTAAACCTAAGATTCTACGAGTCGCACCAGCTATTTGGGACAAATCAAGAGGAGATATTTTAATTTGTAATGGTGGACCGGTTGGTAATCCTATTTGTTTCATTACATGGAATATCGGTTCTAATCCCAAGGTCTCAATGCTCGCTACAAATTGAAATTAACATATTTCTTTTAAGAATAAAATAATTATTCATTTATATAAAAAAGTATATAAGGTAAATTCCGTTTACATGTTTTTATCAATCGTTTCTATTATCATACTTGATTACCTATCATAAATGCTGTTACGTGATATAGTAATTTATTCTTTCATCATTAGCATAAATAATAATTGCGGAAATCAAATTCATAATAGTATAAAAATGATTATGAATAATGTAAGAGTTTGATGTAATTTATTTTTGTATATTTAATAGATTTGCAATTAAACGATTGAATTTACCAGTGTCCATGCAATTTTTGTAAAGAGCACGAGCCAATTTAATAGGCCTTAAATCGTCATCCTTGTCAGGCATTTCTAACAAAATTCTTAAATCTTGTAGAAGATATTCACGAAGAAGACTTAATTGGTCCCAGGATACTTGGCTTTGGGGTATCGGATGTTTAGCTACCCAGCCATCGCATGCAAATTTATAGAAATCATCGCAAGGGTCTACGGATTTGTTCATTGATCCTAATACTCTAGCAGCTGAAAAAAAAAGAAATTATCTAAGAAACAAACAAATAAAACTTCTGATGATATCTAACACGGAAGTGTTGGTCCAAATCAAACTGTCATCTTATTTGATATTTGGAACGTTCAATGAACGTTTAGAAAATAAATGACAGCATTGATAAGTCAAAAAATGCAGATAATAACGAACTCGAGGTCAATGTATGTTATCTAATAATTTCGTAATACGAGAAAACTACTTGGAAGCTAAATCATTCGGAATTGTAACAAATCGTTGATCGATAAATCGATAGATCGTGAATTAAGTAAAATATTTTCATTAGTTTTACTACAATTCATTTTTGTTAATCATCTCTAAGTACCTGTTTTTATGCATTCTTCGCTCTGACACATTTCTTTGTATTCTTCCTTATAAAATACGATCATTTGCAATGTTAAGGTAATAACAAGAGTAATTACAGTTATCGTTAATAAAATAACTACTATTACGAGCCTCGTTTCCTTTTTGCTTGATTTTTCGTCTCCATGATTGCATTGCCTGTTGTGTCAAAAATTAATAAGATATTAAATAAAATAAAACAAATCTTCAATATTTTAGGATAAAAATATTTGTCCATTTCGATTCAAACAAAAATAAACAAATTCTTTTCGTATAATAATCACCATGGAAGTTCTGAATGTTTGTTACTGTCATCGGGCGTTCTGCTTCCATTATTTTCGGGGTCATTGACCTATAAAAAACACACAATGAACAAAAAATCATTTAAATTACGGGAGCATAATTCGCAATTGACATCAAATAAACGATAGACCAATTGACCTTTTAATAAATATAAGTCGATTTAAACTATCCTTAATTAATTCTTATACAAATCGATTAGAGACGGTATTATTTATATATAAATAAAATTTAAAATAAAACAAATTACAAGATCCTAGAAACTGATTTGGTCGTAAAAAAAAGTCATACAGATTAATTTAGATTTGATTTAGTCATTGAATTTCGTCCTTGCGGCTTCCCAGTTGTATAGACTCATTTTTTTTCCACAGGGATCAATCGTAACAAAACCTAATCGGTTTACCTAATCGAACATTAGTTTAGTGTCAACCCATCGGCACGTGAACGTCTACGAACGAAGGTCTCACCTTGCTCTAGAATCGGAATGGAATTACCTCGGCATTATACACTCCTCTCTTAACATCCTGCTGCAATCTATAATAATCCTCCTCTTATTAAAGCCCATCTAAATGAACAGTATCCTTATTACCCCCTCCCCCTCTCCCTCTTTTCCACTCTCCTATTTTTCAAGGAAATCACTGAAATGTTTACAACAGTTGCGTAAATATGCATCGAAAGGATATATAATTTCGAGAAAATAACTTCCTACTATAAACGAATATTACATATATATAAACACACACATATCCATAAATACTGGTACATATCGTATTTTATTATATACACATGTTAATGAAATTGGTGTCGATATTTGTTTAGATATGAATTTAATTATTTATCATGGTAGATGTTATTTGTAATAAATGGAATAAAAATAATTAAGGAGGAGAGGGAAGTAACGATCTGTCGATAATAATACAAGAGTATTTATATCGTCAAAAGTCATTGTTCGATTGATACGATTTTTAATGACTTCTTTTAACTACCGTAATTAATCGATTCATTTAGCTCCAATCGTGTGTACAAAAGAAAAGTATCGTGCTAAGCGATAACGTATATCTTCCTCTTTTTCTCTCATTTCCAACGAATCTATTCTATTTATACGATTATAAGACGATAGTATTCTTATTATAGATACTTTGACTTCTTTTCAATCATCCAAATACGAACAATCTATACAATATATTTATAATTATATGAAGTTGAAGTTTTATAAAATTCTTTTTTTATTATTTTTTCTTTTAATCTCTTTTTTTTAATGCCATATTGAGTAAAGTGAAATTAATTTTGATTTAATTATTTCGTTATAGATAAGAAGTGTAAGACGAAACTCTAAACTATCATTTTTCTTAAACTATTTTAATAATAATAATAATAATTATTATTATTATTATTATTATTATTAATTGGCATTAGGAACTCGAAAGTTCATTGCCGCAAATACCAAATCCCGCTATTGTTCCCGTCCCTACTTCTCGACCTCCCCGACCATCACCTGGAGCGCCCTGGGTCTGAACAGGCTTCGCAAGTTCCAGGTCCCTTCCGTTTTTTGACTTTACTCGACACGAATTCCCCAAGGTAGTCCCCACCCGGAGATCCGAACGGGGGACTAGTTTACCTCCGGAAAATTTTATCCTAGTAGAATCCATGGCGGTTTTCGTTGTTTCGTGATAAAGTCTTTTTACGGAGTGGGGTAATCAGACCTACGCCCAACCCCCGAACAGGAGGGTCAATTCCAAGTCGGCTGTCCGCGACTGCTTATTCAATTTATTCGCAGTTAACCTCGTCCTTATGCAGGACCAAGAGGCCCTTCCTCTATCCGCAACCTGAGGACGCGCTGTGTCGTGGTGACTGGGACCCACCCACCCCGGGGACCACTACAAACTAGTTTTCCTTCCCCGAGACTAGCAGCTGTTATGCTAACAGATATATTACATTTATGTATAATTAATATATAATAATAATAATAATAGAATATATATATTATATAATACAACATTTTGTAATTATTAAATATTAATTATTCTAACAAGCAAGACAAAAATAATACAAATTTGTTTTAGTATTGATTTCAAGTGTTCGATATTTATCATTAGTATTAATTTTTCAGACAGTTTGAAACTTTGAGGGTATAATAACGTTCTTCTACGCTCCAATTATTTTTTAAGAGATCGTTGATTTCACTAGAATCATGACAATATATAAAACAGATATTGAACACAGGTATCATTTGCTACCAATTGTTAATATGCATTTTCGTTAATTACAAGTCTCATTACATATACATTGTAAGATAACCGAGTCATATAAATGGCCTTCGTTTGAAAATACTTGTAACTCGCACGTATGTACTTTGAATAATACATAAAAGAAGGAAAGAAAAAAAAAGAAACGATGTCTCAGAAGCACAATGAATCTCTGTAAATAATTCACACTGATATTTTCAAGTCGTACGTGTTAACAATGAAAGGTAAGCATGTGCATAAGCAAATGCATCCTTCAAATTGTACGCACCATCTCTTTAGAAAAACAAACAAACAAACAACTTCCTACAAGGGATCCTTGCATTGATTGATATTTTATTAAAACGCTACGTATAAAGTTTAAGATTTGAATTTCAAAGAGATCAAATAAGGCATCACATCTCGAACATTTAAGTATACGTCTTATGTTTTATGCAGGTACAACCAACATATCATATCCACAAAACGAGAGGGAGCGAAGAAGGAGGAGGAGGAGGAGGAAGATGAGGAGGTAAAGCAATGAGGGAAAGAGAAACGAGAATGTATCGTCTCCAGGGACAGCTGGTTTAAAGCATTCAATATTGCAGCAGGAAAAAAAATTATTAAAGATTACAAAAAAGAAAAAAAGAAATAAGATGAAGAAGAAGAAGGAAAAAAAAGGATTGCAAGGACTAGGTCTAACCTTGTATCTCATCTTTCGTTCTTCTCTACAAACCACCTCTTCGTAATCGTCAATGCTCGCGGTTTCGTGTGCTCTTGCTTGGTAACTCTGAAACAAAGAACAATAACCGCGCGGTGAGTTATTAAGAAAAAAAATAATGCGTCGTTCGATGATGACGATTATACTCATCGTCGTGATGCTTCTTTGCATTGAATGAAAGAAGAACGTAGAAACAACTTGTCACAGACATCGAATGATTTCGTTTCTCCTTCGCCCAGTTTCTACAATCATTTGTGGATTAACATTCGCCCTTAATTGTAGATTAACATTCTCAGAATGAAACATTCGCCCTTGTACAATCATGAAGCATATTTATTTAGCATTAATTTATCCATCTTTTTTTCTAATTAGAGATATAATAAACTCGTTTATATTAAATTTCAAATTAAATTCTCAAGGAACACTATGTTTAGTGTTAATTTTTGACTAAAATGATTGCAAAAACAAAGATTGTCTTCTTAATCAAAAAACACATATTTATATGTACTTTCTTTACGCGGAAAGTATCCGTTTATTAATATTTAAGATAATATCAATTTTGTTTAGGTATTTCAATCGATCTGTTATCGACATCAAGGAAATATATACAAATGTTTATCGGTTCTCTATAACATATCATCATTTATATGCAATCTGTAATTATTTATATAGTTTCCCGAAGAAGACCAACGACGCGTTAATGGTTAAAACCGGTCTATTATAGTGTGTTGGATAAATATATTATATATACATATATGTAAGTGTATTGTGTATTGTATAATATCCGATAGAACCGGCACATTACGAAGACAGATCAATTTACGTTATTATATCTGCACGGTGTAAGCTCATTTTCTACAACTAGTCGTATCTTTTTTCCCTCTTGTTTCTTTTTCTGAATTTTTTATCATTGTTTTTCTTTTTCTCTTTTTTATTCAAGAATGTTTTCTTGATTAGGTATAACTTTATTTACGCGATCGTATTATTAATAGAATTGATATCAAATCGATTATAAATCAAAGAGAAAATTCTCTAAAAATTAGGATAAAAGATGTGAATATAAAAACATGTTCAGTTCTCTTGAGAAGATAGAGTCAAGATTTTCACTCGGAAATCATTAGACCAAAGAAAGTAGTTTAATTTAACCTGTGCCACATGAGATTAGTATAAGCGATTGAAAATGAGAAAAACAGAAATAATATTTAAACAAATAAAAGATAAGAAAATGTTTCTATGTTTTTAATTGATTTATTAGTTTTCTCTCTTTACTTACTATTTCGTAAGAATAATAAAAATATAAATGACCAATTAATATTAATATTTATGTTAGTATTATCATAATTAAAGTGTAAATTTCTTCCAAAAATCTTTTCCAAGAAAAGATAAGAAAAACATACTAAGATGGTCGGTTCTTTTTTTAAAAAATAAACTGCACAACTTTCTTTCCCGCGCAAATGTTTTCCATTACAAATCTGTATAAGAACTCGGGCTTTTAAAAATGTATCTTCACAGCGTGTAAAAATATGCTAATTTATATTTAGAAAAGAACTCGAGGTTTTTGATCTCGGATAGTACGTCGCGCCACGTTGTGATCGGAGATCATAAAAAAGAGTTGTTATAATAAATGAAGTATCAATCACGTGTAAGCAATGATGGCACGCGCTACATTACGATCTATTACATTCTAACATTTATTGCCTTGATCTTCGAACATTCGTCGAAGGATTTACAATCGAAACGTGTCTAATGTGACAGTTAATAAATCGTTAATATCCTCTGTTCTTTTTTTTAGAAACAGAATTTCTTATTTTATTTCAATCATTAATCAAAACAATATTAATCAATAAAAGATGCATCTAAAGATGAATGAACAATAATTAAAATATCGATGAACTTACCTGACTTCTTTTTTATTTCTTCGAATATACGCACTTGTGTTTAAAAATACATGAAATTTATTATAGCAAAATATTTATTAATAATAATCGTGTGAATGAATAGTTTTGATTATCATTAATTATCGCGCACAGTTGAATTGAAATTTTAAATCGTAGAAAAATTGTAGAATTACAAGAGTTAGGAGCATAAGCGTGTAAAAAGAGGAAAAAAGCAAATTATTATTCTCATTTATTGTTTTTAATTTCGCAATTATTTGTTGCCCGATAATTGCACTGTATCATACGATATAAAAACTTTGAAATTCTCCCGCGGTTTGATTTAAACAATCTATCAAGTTAGCTCCTCCTTGTGGAAGAATATGTACGCCTCGTGACAGACGATAAACCAAACTGAAGTTTCGGCTCGAGAAGAAGCGAGCCTAATCATCCTACTCCCCCACTCAACTGCCTAACATAAGATAGTCTTTAAAATTCTCGTTCTGATCGAAACTAACAACTTTATTCGAGGAATTGCTACAAATCATTGTCTCTTTTTCTTCTTATTTCATAATTTTTGTTATTTAAGCATAATTTCTGCTTAATAAAATATCATTTTCTTCTTTACATCTTTTATTTCTTTTTTAACGAATAAAAGTACATTAGATTCGTTAAATAAAACAATTATTCTTATCATCTATTATTTAACAATGTCATATTATTTAAGATAAGTTAATTTGTTTATATATTTTGTTTAAAACGTCATACTTTTCTTAACACGTTTGAAATATCTGAAAAAATGTAACGTTGAAAATTAGTTTAATAAAGGCCAAAAGTTTTAAATGTTACCATTCAAGATTGCTCCTATAAGATTCAACAATTTTATTTAATCTTTTAGAGCATAGGTTGTTAACACGTGCATCCTCATTTTGGCAGTTTCTTTTCGTGATAGCAATCGTTTATTTCAGTTTATCCTCATCTTCGTGAGGATTTATTTTATGATTGAGCATGTATAAAAAATTGTTAATTAAATGGAACACTGTTTGAGAACCTGATAGTTTGATAATCTTTGATTGAAAAGTATAAAATTATTGAGGCGAGGTACACCCCATTTCAATGATCGTGTTAAACTTTAAGGGCATTTCTGAAAAGATTCCCTGAAAAGTGCCCTGATAAGAAGGGCACTTCTTTAAAAGATTTTGCAATATCATTATAAACACAAACATTAGACGAAAATAATTAAAGCATTTTCCCTTCTACGTTTTATATCGATGCTGTTAAACAAAAAATAATCTTTCGTAGAGAAAACAATTCGTTTCTAGCGTTATCCTAAGGATATCCATGAAACTGGATAATTATTAAAATTACTTAACATGAGTAAGTTTATGAAATTCAATTCTTTAAATTGAAATGATCAAATTGAAACATCTATGCTTATACAATTAAAGGAATCTTCAATGAGTTCTTGCGATATCCATTCTTCGGCTGGTGATTGATGTAATGCAACAATAGCATGATTTTCAACTTCCTTCAATACACGTAACAAATTTCCACCGACTAGTTTCTTGATATCGGAAGCGGACCATAGTCTATCTCTTGTTAATTCCGCTAATAACAATGGATATCCTGAAACATCTGGAAGCTCTGTAGGTGGACTGTAAAAAGAAATTAACATATCGATTTATTTTAATTAATTAAAGAAATATTTGTTAAATGTTAAGTTTCAAATGTAAAACCTTAAGATTCCATCATAACCAGCACCCAAACCAACGTGATTAACACCAGCTACTCCGCGAATATGATTGATGTGAGCTAAAAAAAGGATAAAATGTAAAATTTACCTTATTATTACTAAATCAATGAACGTCTATTAAAACTTACCTATAACGTCTTTCATGGAAGCCTTGTTTCCGCAGCTAAGATGTGTACTATCGAAACTGACCATGACTAAGCCACCATTAACGGACTTTGAAAAATAATTAAAGTTATAAAAAATGAAAATAACAATCAATAACAGAAAAAAAACAAATAATGAAATAACAATTATCTCATAGAATGATATTAAACGAGTATAAACAATTGTTTAAAATTACCAAATTTTTGAGTACATCGTCCGGTACATTACTGGATGAATTGCAAAGAGAACGAGCCGCACTGTGCGAAAATATAACAGGTGCTTTTGTTATAGATAACGCATCTTTCATAGTTCTGATCGAAGCGTGAGAAAGATCAACGAGCATTCCTAATCGATTCAATTCTCTGACAACAGCTTTACCGAAAGTGGAAAGACCGTCGCTTTGAAAATCAGCGGGTGCTATTCTATCTGGATCTTCAACGGAACAGGAATCTGCCCTGGAATCATCGGTAAAAAAGAAATACAAGTAAATGAACTTTCTTAACGCTTTGCTTAACGCTTACATTTCATTAATTATTCATAATATTCAGAGATTATTACGTGAGTAATCATTTTATTTTTCCACAAGCACTAACTTACCAGGGTGTATTACATTTGTGTGTCAAGGTCATATAACGTGCACCAAGACGATGGAAACTTCTAAGTACCGCCATAGAAGTGCCGATACTGTGACCCCCCTCTATTCCAACTAAACTAGCGATAACACTGTCCTTGTGAGCCTTTTCGAGTTCACCACTTGTAGTTACGAGTCTTATCTTCCTCGGATATTTCGAGGTAAGTCTTCTTACTACATCTATTTGCTCGAGAGTCAGTTGTACAGCATCTAGAAATTGTGCCTCGCAGGGAACATATGCTGACCAAAATTGTGCACCTACGATACCTTGACGTAAGCGTACAAGATCGGTTTGCCATTGAGGACCCCAACTGGAGTTCCTTGAGACGTCTTCGTCAAATGGGAAGTCTTGCAGTTTCGTATTTCCACGATGTTTTCGTAAATTCCAAGCAAAATCATTATGACTATGAGAAAATATTTCAATTGTCAATGAATATTAAATTCTTTTGCTATAGTTTATTTTTTCTATTGCATACCCATCGATCAATGGAACTTCTGAAAGCATTCTCCGAACAACCTGCAATCTCGCTTCCAAAAGATGAGAACTTCGAAGTTCTAATGCTAACGGTAATCCAACACTAGCGACCAAAGCGCATCCAAGGAAAAAAAATCCTGCCATTACTATCCATTTTCGTCTCATGTTACGTCCTGTTGAAGAAAAATTAAAATTATAATTGTTGAAGGTAAAGGATTACAGTAACTATCGAAATATATTCAAAAAAGACTCTTTTAATGATGATGCCTTCCACAGAAAAAAGCTATTCAAGCGCGTAACATTATTCGTACATGAAATTACCATAACGGTGACTGAGAAGCTTTCTTTCTTTTCTGTTCAGTTACTTTCAGTTAAGAGTTTCCTGAGTTCGTCATCATTGTTTTCGCAATTGAGTAATTCGTCCAACCGTAAAAAGAAATCATATCAAATCAACAAGATATTTAATTTTTTTTGAACCGTTACGCTTGTCTTACGCGTATTCTTTGCGGTGACAAATAATTTTAAGCGAAAATTTAAACCAACTTATTTCAAACAAATCGTGTTACTTCGTGCAAAACTAAACTCAGCGATGTGAAAAATAAAGAAAAAATATCTTCAAAATGATTTATTAAATGCAATCTTGAGACCAACCATTTTCTCTCGAGGCATCTTTGTTTTTATCCAATGAAGTTGAAACGCTTGCTTCCTTAACGTGATGCAAAGCATCGCCATTAGGCAATTTTCTCATAATTTCTGGTGAAGAAAGTTGTAAGCAAGTCTACAAAAATATAGAAATATTTTTAATAACATTTGTAATTTGATAAAAATTCATTTACAATTATTATAATATCTTTTGATGAATAAATTACACTAAAATTGTTATTATACTTTCGTATTATAATAATTAAATATTATTCTCATATAAAATTGAAAATTAAAAAATGATAATAATAGTGCAATGATAATAATCGACCGGCACAGGAAGTTATTTGAGTATCATAATAAATATCTATTTATTTACTTTACCTCCAATATATCAACATCTTTTCGGTTTGGTGGTGGTGAGCGATATAACATTCCATCCTTACTGAGTCCATAAAGTTCGAACATCTTTTTCTAAACTGATTATTTCTAACAAAATGTACGGGCTATCGTAGTAAACATTAACGGGAGTGTTAAGATATAGAAGAAATGAACGCATGCGCCAATTTTGTATCGACCCGGGCTAGAAAAGCTTTCAAAAGTTAAATAATTTCGCTATTTAATCATATCTTAAATAAATAATGATATAAATAAACATTATTTATCATTTATTTTATCGTTTTTACTCGAATATACAATAAAAAAAGATGAAAATTATTTATTATATATATAATGAAAAATTATAAAAAAGATAATATAAAAGATAATAATAAAATCTTTATATAAAAGTAAATAATAAATAATGTAAGAAAAAACGGGATAACGTGATAAATAACTCGAAGATAATTTGAAAATTGGCGGAGATGAATGAAGGAAACAGTTGAATTTCCGATATGCGCGGAAGGAGGTGCGCGTGAAATTGCTTCTCGGTGCCGCCGCGACGCCATATTGTTTGCGGTGTACGTACACGTCGTTTAACGGTTCGCACCTAACGTACGAAGTTTATTCTTTATTCGTTGATTGAGTCCCGTCGGGATTTTTTACGAAAATTTCGCGTAAAAGCAATATGAAAAAAACGAAGGATGTGTCGGACGAGGACGAATATTCGGCGGACGATCCGGAAGAAGTAGAAGGAGCATCCGAGGAAGAGTGGACTCCAGAAGCCGGAGCTGAGGTAAACCCACGCTACCGGATAAACTTGTTATTTTTCTATGCATTTCTCAAATCAAATTTAACTTTTTTCTCGAATAATTACATTTTTCTCATTTTCCATATCTTTTAATACGAACTAATAATCTTATCGATTAGAAAATAATATTCGACATTCATGTCATTTGTGTTCGAGCAATTTCCACCAACAATCCTCATACATTTATCTAAAGATATTTTGTTCAATCTTTTTAGAAAACATCACTTGAATTAATCGTTATTTATATTTAGAATTTTTCCAGATATAAGTTTATTACTTTATCGTAGAATAAATATTCAATTGTTCGAATTTGTAATTATATATAGCTATTATTATTATTATAAACTTTACGATCTGAGATGAATAAAATACTTGAATGAAAGTATTTAACTAGACATTAGATGCGTATAGAAATATTCTAGTTTATAATGTCTTCTTTTAATTAAAACTTAAGCGTTGGGGTTAATAGTGTTCATAATAATTTGAAAAAATGTCTACATTTTCATTCAAATATATGCAAGATCGATTTTAATGATACTCTAATGGCGGTGATGTTAATAGATCGTATTTTTCTATGTTAAAATCGTTTGTTTTCTATATTTTGACTATGTTTGTACGCGGCCATCATTGCCGGCCGGTCAGTGGCGCCGGCAGTTAATTTTTTAAACGCGCGAATCCAATGTCGTCATTTATCACGATAAGTATATTGATATTTCCATTTTAATATTTACTCATATTAAATATTTCTTTTCTAATCATAGTTTTTAATTTTGTGTACTATTTTTATCAATCTTAGCTAACAGAACATCTTTGTAACTAGTATATTTTAATATTAATGGGACCAGGTGTATTTCATATAAGATTATTTTATTTTTTTGTAGAGTGCTACAAAAAAGAGACCACAAAGAGAAGCAGCTAAAAAAAGACAACATTCGGAAGAGGAAGAGGAAGACGAGGAAGAGGAGGATGAAGAAGAAGATGAAGAAGAAGAAGATGAATCAGATTCAGATGCAGAAAAAAAACCAAAAAGAAAAAGACGTTCTAAGAAAGAGGAAGATGATAAGGAAGAAGATGAAGAAGAGGATTCTGATGATAACAGTTATAACGAATCATCGGGAGAAACACCTAAAGATTACACAGTCTGTTTTAATTTATTGTAGCACATGTAATATATAGAATAACATTATTATTTATATAATGTCTGATAATATTAATATTGTTTTTAGTCTGGTGCATTTGTCGTCGCCAAAGCTGACATAGGAATACATAAAGATCCAACATTATGGAGGATAGATGGTAAAGCATTACTGCAAAAGTTTTTACCTTTCAAAGAAGATGGAAAGACATTGTACAAAAGTACCTCCACGGTAGGCATCTTTATTTAAATTGATTTAGTTATTACTTAAATATGTAAATTATCTAAGGCTTCATTTTAGCACGTTGATCACCACGTAACCTAAATTTAGGTAACAGCTATGTTTCCATTCGGGTCATGTAATCCAAAATTCAGCTGATGTTGTTCTCCTTTTAGTTTAAATAGATTTTCTTTAATAATTTGTAAATATGTTATTCGTAAGACATTTATTCATAACACGTATTTCATATATACATCATAAATCTTGGCCCCATCAGAAATGCACTCAATCTTTGCGTGGCGATGAATGTATTGTTAGTCATAATCTTAACATTATTTAACATTTGTAGTATTCCGGGTGGTCGATCAGCAACAAAGACAAATATATAGCAGCACAGGTAACTTTCAAAGTGCAAAATAGAACAGAAACAATTGTGGAACTTCACCTTGATCAGCAGCAGCAAGAAGTTGTAAAGTTAGTTTATTCAAATTTGTCTACATCATTAAAAATTACCTTTATTTTATTTAAAATATATAAATGAATCTTATTTCTGTTTTAGAGAGGAGAAAGAAGATTAAATGTAGTTTGAGTTTGCCTCTTATTTGTTTATATATGGTTTATGGTATATAAGGATGAATACCTCTACATCCCATATACATATGAGTGAAAATACAGAAAGCGTCATAGATGTCATCCTCCTAAATACTACAGTCAATATGAAATGATGCATGCCAATATCCCAAGTCTGTAATAGCACATTTTATATTGTCTGCAGACTTTGGCAAGGCAGTTATTATCACGCTCTATGTATAAACATAACATATATGCACGAACATGAAGCAGTCATTTAGCAGGATCATATTTAAATTTGATTGGGTGGACCATGGATCCAATGTTATTTCATAATGGATGGTTTTAGGTATAGTGAATGTGATTCTACCAAATACCATGTGCGCTGCTATGAACAAGTGCAGATAACTCTATCTGAAAATCTGCGATTTCATCAAAAATGTTTGATAATATTATATGTAAAAAAACTAAAAAATGAGGATTTTAATGCCTATAACAAGAAAATTATTGTTTAATAATAACTTGTATCATTTGTTTTTAGAAAAGCATGATTATTTTTTAAATATTAATGAAATTCATTCATTATTAAAAAAAAAAATTTTTTAACTCAATAGTCGTCTACTTTAATTAATTTAATATAAATAAAGAAAAACATCATCCGGTAATTGAATAGTCCAGTTTTGTTTTTCACCCAAATTACAAGGTGCTACTTAAGCAAACGAACCTCATCATTAGTTTCTTCTATTATATTTTCATTATTTCACACATTGTGGCCCAATTTAATTAACATGCTACTAGAATATCTTCTGTAAAATGAAATTTTTTGAAGGAACGCTTTTCCGTCTATCATTCATAAAATTTAATCTTTATTCGTTCCAATATTAGTTTTTGTGTTAACATGCACAGACTATAATAAATGTAATATATTAACACTGAGCCACATATTTTATCAATGTATATTGGCATTAACAATTATTTTCAATCGATTGAAAAAATTTGAAAATTTATCAATAAACTTGCAAAGTTCATTGATAAAAACAAAATCATAATTTTATGATAATTAACAAAAACATTCTTAGGGAAGCAAACTATAAGCTGACATATAGTAAAAAGAAGTGAATTATAAGAAGGAAATACCTTTTGGTTGACCTTTATTCAGTTTTCCCATAATTTATACATTATAACTTTTTTATAATTTTTCTTTATAATGCTTTACATACGTCGTTTATCTTATTTCATATTACCTAAATTAAAATTGGATAAATTATTTTATCATAATTTCTGTATATTTTGTTCTTTATTAAATAAACCGATCAAGTTATATAACTAAAATTACAGAACAAATTGCAGGAAAAAATTATCTGTAAAAAGATACATTGAATTTTTTCTATAGAAAGAAAATAGCATTTACTATTAATCTTGATTTAATTATATATATATATATAATTAATTAATTATCTCTTTCATTGAAAAAAGCAAAATTGGTATTTATAAAAAAAAAATAAAATAAAAACATCGATAAAGATATAAATTTTGCAAAAACATTTAAATATTGTGTACTTAATATCTTATCATGAGTCCCCGTAGTATCTTAATAATAAAATAAATAATGTTATGTAATTTATGCCGTTTTTTCGTGTAAAAATATAGAAAATGACATATTATATCATGTTTTCCAATACTATTAAACATAAGAATGTAAATATTGCTAGATGAATCAAGAAAATGATTCTTGCACATACACAGTTCTTAAAATATTACTCAATAATTTATGATTTTTGATTGTCGATGTAGAATAGAATAAAAGTTACATAATCTTACTAACAAGTATAAGGCGTGAATATAAAAACTGTTTAATCACATTACATTTTATTATGTGCATAGAAACGTAATTTAATTACGTTTATAATATCATATTAAAATCGTAATATAAAATATATATAATTTAATTTCAACAAAAATAAACTCAAATACGACATTAACTGAACCAATAGATTATACACCAAGTAAGATTATTATAAAATGAATGTAAACAAATGTGTGTTTTGAATATTAAAAGAAAAAAAAGCGTACAGAAAGATTACTTTGCAATACCGTAAATATATATATAGTACCATTAATTTAACACGAATTCAAATCGTATGTTTAAAGAAAAATTAGTAAAAAGACTAGAATTTTTGGTCCTTTTATTTTAATTTTATATATAATTAATATTCCAGTTATATTAAACTTATCCTTTTCTTTTTTATATTAACATGACATTAAAATCTTCTAATAGATTATATATATTATATAAAATTCTTTTGTGCTTATATTTTAAATAACAACAAAAATAAACTTAAATAAAATTAATAGAAATAAAAGAAGAACAAAACAAATCATAATTTATCAGTGTCGATTAAAAATATTTAAATAGATATGTTTGTCATTTTAAATTCTTGACTTAAGAAAACAATTTAACAATGTCCATATTTCCAAAATATTAGATAATATAAAGCAGTGTATTTTTTTTTTGTATTTACCCATAGTTCCGTATTAAAAAATAATTACGTTTTAAAAAATAAAACACTACTGTATGTCGTGTTTGTATTCTAATCAATATCAAAAAAATATCTTTTTTCTTTTAAAAGATATTAATGTAAATATATATTCACATAATATGTATGTGTATATAGATTTATACACATACAAGTAAGCTAATGTAATAGTAGGTGAACGGTTAACGAACATAATCTGTTCAAAGATAATATTCACTAACCAATCATCAATTAAGTTTTACTTCTTCTTGTGTTTGTTCTGTGAAGTCGCTCGTTATCAGAATACGTATTTGTTATCCGATTTATTCACAGTCCAAACTGTTTTTTAAATAATCACCCACTGTAGACTTATAATATTTTTCTATATAATGAGATTTCTTTTTATTATATTTATTGCTGCCATTTTAACTAAATTTTTTTAGCAAACTAATGTTATCTTAGTTATTTCTCTATTAGATGATTGTAGGCTCTTATTTCTATTATCTTGTAAGTAAAAGATTTTTAAAAAGTGTTTAGAAAAAGCGTTTAAAAATGATATCTTAGATAGCTTTCTATATATGTTATTTGTTGTTTTTAATGCAGTTAAGTAAATAGCATCTATTAAATCATTAATACTTTCTGAAAATTCATTTAAGTAGCTTTTCCAATGATTCTATATTAAAAACCAGGTTCCATTCTAACGGATAAAACGCTATTTAACATGTCACGGATTTCTGCCATTTCTATTCTGCTCTTAGCTACGATATCTTCTAATTTTTTATTTTCTTCCATTATTTTTTCTACTTTCTCCCAACATTTGCTGTCATCGAATTGACAGTAACATTCCCCGTGCATGTCTTCAGCTTTATAAATTGAATCTAACTTTTCTTTGCAATCGCAGGCTGGATTTTTCTTTTTACAACATTTAGTACCTTTTGTTGGTTTTAATACACTCGTTGTAGATGATGATGTACTTGAGGTATTTGTGCTTACACTTGGGGCGTATTTGTAACTTTTAAATGGACCATAAGTTTCGTTGACTTTTTCTTGACTCAAACACTCGACTTCTTGGGTAGATTCTAAATTTAATTCTTTAATGTTTGTTATCTTTTTAGATGTTGCATATAAGTCGGGTGTCAAGTCAGATTCAGATGTTTTATCTTGTACGATTTTATCTTTAAATACTATTGGACTGGAACTGTAGAAATTATCGCCATCAAACTCATTTACTCTTGCTTGACGTTTTAAACTTTTTCTTCTATTTAGTAGGCCTTCGTTAATCTGATTTTTAATAATTATACTATCACTAAATCTTCTACCATCTGGAATGAAATTATTCTCTCCTAAACTAACTTCGTCGAATCCTTCGCTAGCACGTCGAATACCACCATATTTAAAAGGAATGTCATCGTCTTTTTCAGTTATAGTAGCTATCGATTTGGACTTTTCTTTATCTTCTACTTTACATTTCATATTAACATTTATTTGGTCATTGAAGTAATTACTTGGCTGCGACACTGATTCGTCGGTTTCATAAGATTCCGTACTATCGTTAAATTGATCGGATAACTTTCTTTTAATAGATTCATCATCTAATTTTTTAGTGGATGATTTTTCTGTCTTCATATGAATTCCCTTTAATTCTCTTAATTTAGAAATATCGTTAATAGTACAATAATTATCCTCTTTTTCGTTGGATATTTCTTTTGCATTTGGTACGCATATTTCAATTAAATCTCCATTGTGTCCAAAAGCAAAAGACTTTTGTCCTTAAATGTGTATAATAATATGAAGTAGGAAATAATTTAAAGAAGATTATGATACATTAATATAATTAATCTTACCAATAATCATACGCTTATTGCGCATATCAGGACTTTTTGACCGTGGCTGCTCCAAAAATTGTCTGTTGTCTGGCGATAATACGGAATGTCTAGATTGCGGATACATCTTGTTGGATTGTTCATAAGCATTGTATATTGCACATGCATCCATTTCATGTGACTCATGTTCGCGCAATCGTTCCATGATTTTTTGGACTATTTCAGATGGTGCTACATATGGCGAACCTTATAAAATATCACAGAACATAATTAGTAAAAGATATTTAAATAGAATACATTAATAATAATATATCAAATTATTAATTCTATTTAATTAATAAAAAACAAAGCAAATATTCCATTCATTTGGAACTATTATTTTTCGAATGGCATCTTTCAGTTGTAAACAATTTATTTGTGTGTAATTGTACCTATCTTGCAAATGTTAATAATTAAATGATTTCTTATAAATATTTCTATCACGTGTAGGTATTCCTATAGATTTAAACTCATGCATTTTCAAATATTTATTAACAAAATTATATAAAATAAGCTTCATTTAATTATAAACACACACGTAACAAAAAAACTTGCACATAAAATAATATGCACATAGAATCTATAATATTAATATACCTTACAAAGAAAAGAGTAAGTAATAACTATAAATCACATGCTTAAATGTTGGTGTACAACAAACTAAAAAAACATTTTTTCATCTTTTTTCTTTTTTGCAACAAATAAGTGTAATTGCACATTGCATTTATTAAACTTACAAATGTGCTGGACCCAGAATGTCTGCGATGTAAAATACTTGTATTCATACTTAATGTGCCATCGCTTCCTATAAAGTATTAGTTACATAGTACAACGCTACAATATTATATTAAGTTTTTTTTCTATTATAACTTTTGGATAATATTGTAGGTTCATCCTATTAAGGATTGTAACATATAATTTATCTACAAAGGTATATACACAACAAAATTTTAGCTTACCTGTTAGACCCCTATATCCTAAAGATACGGAATCAAAAGATTCGCTTGTTTCTTGTTGTTGTTTAACAAAGTCATTAATAGCAATTCCTTTTAATTTAGATGGCTGTAAGAACCTTTTAGGTATACGAGACAACGGGCCGCTTTCTTGAGGACTATTGGAACAACCTCCGAATCCAAGACTAAATAAAACAGCTTCGGGATCTGCTTTTCTCAGTTCTAACAAACTTTCTATACTACTGCAATGACTACTGTCCGATTGAAAACTCTGATCTCGTGCAAGTCTAGCATGAGGAAGAGAACTATAATACAAATACATTATTTTTATATCTACACAAACTTGAACAACAACAATTTTTATTGGAAAGTTTCATGCTTTAAATACGTTCGCAAAACAATTGTTTAAATATTTACCTAGGTATTCTAGACATATTATTGATTGCTGGTGTGCTAGGCACGTTGATAGGAGCTGATACAGTCATTGTCGGTAGCTTTGAATAGTTGCCTTTCAAAAGCGGAATGTCTTTAGCTGGCGTTGGTGTTGCAGAAGTGCTAGGCTTAACGTCTATCGAAACAGGTAGATTTGATTTTAAAGGCGAGGGTATTGAGTCGACCCATTGTTGAACCGGGCTATTACGACGTCTCATTTCCCACATTCCACGTAACCAATCAGTTACTTTTACAATTGTTTCTTTCCCTATACTTTCTAAAAACATACAATCCTTTTAAAATTCATATATTTATTATTAACCATTCGTCATTGATTATTATGATATAACATGAGGATAATTGTAATAATTATGATACAAACTATCAATCAACAATATCTTATTACGTCCAGAAGATCTAATTGTGTTAAATTATACCTGGGTCCATATCTCTTAAGCAGCATGAGTAGTACGCAAAATTTATTATTAATGAATAAAAATCAAATATGAAAAAATGATTATCATATAAAATTGATTACATATCAATATGATCCGTTCAACATAAATGTATTGAGAATGTTATCAAGATAAAAAAGTAAAATATCAATGATCATTAAAATTACCTTGAATAATATTATCTATATGTTACATTGTTTTTGTAATAAATTAACGTGCTTTTTAAAACACGTTTATGAACTTTGTTATGTTCTTCAAACGATTTGCGTCGCGCATACTAACTGAGCTTGTAACAGCCACTTGTTAATATCACACACACATACACATATCTTTATATACACATGCATACATAATGTAACCTCAGTGCATACATATATATACATATATCTTAATAGATATGCAGTATATTTTCAATAAATTTGCGCAGCTTTCATATAACGTCACAACATGGTGACTTTATTTGACAATATTTTTCTTCATTCTAAATTACAAATAAGTGAAAATGTAATAAAATTGAAAAACTGTAATAAACTAATCTTCATTCGTCAATTATATTTAATTTCTATTGTTTGATCATGAAATTAATTGTAACAATGTAAAATAGAATTTTAAGGTTAGATAATGAATAATGATGAAAGGAGAAGGAGGAGAAGGAGAAGGAGTATCTATGGTAACAAACAAGTATATTTTATTGTAGTTGTGAGTGTTATTACTGTTCTTAAACAATGGATCATTTTCCTAAAGAGTTAAAAAATAATATATTAATTTTGATACCTAAAAAACATAGAAAAAAATATTCTAAATTGATAAATCGTATTTTTCATGAAATTGAGATTATACATATGAAAAAAAAAGAAAGTTTTGGTATTAAAAATGTTGTGTACCTTGAAAAGGATAATTATGAAAAATTGACAACTCATTTTGACAATTTTAAATTATTTAATGTAAGATTTGAAAGGAATCGAAATTTTCTTATAAAAAGATATTTTCTTTCTCATGAAATAATTAGGAATATTATTAAAGGAGCACAATTGAAACTTCCTAATATTATTTGCGATCTTAAGAAGTATCAACGCTGTCAAATAACTTTATTTCAATTGCAAAGTATTTGTAACAAGGATATTAACAGGAATTCTTTGTTTATAACGAGTAATTTTTACAATGAAACTTATGAAGCTATAGCGAATGCAAAAACATTAAAAAATATGCCTATGAAACGTTTGATACATTTTTTACAGTGCGTAACTAATGTATTCACGCAACAGATTATATTAATAATGATTAAATCGATAGATAATATAATTAATTTTATGGAGAATAAATACAGCTGACCGCAGCTTGAAATAAAGCTTGTATACCAAAACAATAGGATTACTTTGAAACCTAATTTGAAAGATTTGTTTGATGCATTCAACGATATTCTTTCCAATATCGAAAATATTGCTCAAGAATTGACTCCATTTGAGAAATGTTTTAAAATAAATACAAATTATGAATACATTAAAATCAAGTTACCACAATGGTTTATTCAAAGTTCTTATAATAAATTGCAGATGACAGTGGAAGATATGCTTAGACCGATAATGAATGATCTTAATACCATTGTTAATCAATTTGGTATCATATGCGATGGTACAAATGTAAAAGACAAAATTCGATTGTTAATTTCACAAAAACTTGATTTCGATGTCTATCTTGGTGAAATAAAAAAATATAACAAGTATCATAATATCGCAAAATCAATGGTAACAAACGTATATTATGACGTAGGTCAATTGAATCAACAACCTGCAAAAGAAGCATTAATTGAATATTGTTCTGAAATAATTGATATGCTTACGAAGGAATTGGTGAATTATCACCTTACATATAATCAACTAATTTGTTCTGAATTTGAAAATCTTAAAATGAAGGCTTTAAATGTACCTAAAGATGCAAAGAGATTAACTAAATTAATCGACTATATGATGCACGATTCTAAAGTATTGGTGAAAGAATTAGAAGAAAGGATACATAAATCTGTAGAAATGTTAAGTGTACTTTTAGAAATAACTACGTTAACGTATAAACATATGAAAATAAATAGAGATACTATTTTATGGTTGAATTTAATACAACCGATATTTGCACAAAGCAATATCATGTGCGAAGCTATTAAAAATGATTTTGAAGATGACTTACAGAAACGAATAAGTACTTTAAACATCCAAGTAGATGATCTGTTTCCACATCTTGTTATTTTAGATAACATGGATGATATTAAGAAAGTTCAAGAATATTCTGAACATTACGACGATCTTATTAAAAAAGTCAAAGAAATAGAGGATCAAGTAATTACGATAAATGCAGAAGAATCATTTTTTAAATTCCCAGAAACTGAATTTCCAAGAGTCATCGAATTAAAAGAGATTGTTTATCCATTTTATTCTCTTGTTAATATCATTCGTCAATGGCAGAGAGATAATTCTATATGGTTGAATGGACCTTTTGAATATTTGAGTCCTGATGTGATTAAGGAAAAGACTTTAGATTATTTAACAAATATCACGGAGATGAATAAACAATTCAAGTCACGAATCAAAATGGATGTTACATCTAATAAATCATTTAAATTTTCTGGAATAACAGATGATCCCGATCCAATGCAACAACCTGCTCCTTTGAAATTATCTTGGCAAGCGATCAACGATATTCAACAATTTAAAGTATATTTACCGCTTGTTATTTGCATATGCAATCCTGCGCTCAAACAACAACATTGGAAAGAAATGTCTATGATATCACAATTTGATCTTACTCCACATGCTGGTACAACACTTCAGAAAATTATTAATTTTAATTTAATAGAAAATATAGAGAAATATGAAATTATTAGTACAAAGGCTACCAAAGAACTTTGTCTACATCAACAACTATCAAAAATGCAGCAGATGTGGTATACGATTTCATTTGAAATTATTTATAATAAAGAAACAAAATTATTTGTATTTAAACAGCAAGATGATATAGAAAGTCTTTTAGAAGATCATTTTCTTAAAATAGAAGAAATGAGAGCTTCTCATTTTATTGAATCAATATCTACGTCTCTTAAAAATTTTCATATTTCTCTTAAAAAGATTCAAGAGATAATAATACTTTGGTTCGATATACAGAAATGTAAAATTTCTGTAAGTTCGATATTTTATTGCCAAGCAACAGAAAATGATTTATTCCAAGAAACTTCTTTGTACAGAGAAGTAAACAAAATATTAGAAAATATTAAGAAAAAAATATCAGAAAATCCTAATTTCCATACTTTTCAGAATGATTATGATATATTAAATAATTTACAAGAGTCGAATATTAAAATGGATCAGATAATGAAAAGAGTTCAGAATTATATTGATAATAAAAGATTAGATTTTGAAAGATTCTTTTTTCTATCAGATATAGAAATTCAAAATATATTATTTGAGTTGGATGATATAAATAAATTACAATTATGTTTACAAAAATGTTTTCCTGGTATCAATAAATTACAATTCGATAAAACAAACTGTAATATTTATTCCATTTTAGGAAACTGTAACGAGACTCTTCAACTTAATACAAATATTGCAATACTTAGCGGTGAAGAAAAATGGTTATCTACTTTACAAAAAGTATTAAAAAATACAATTTATGAGAATTTGCAGCAATGCTATTTACATTTTGAAGAAAAGGATCTATGCGATTGGATTACAAATGTACCAAGTATGGTAATCATTTGTATTTCTCGCATTTATTGGACCAGTCTGGTCCAAAATTGTTATTCACCTTTTAATTTGTTATTACTAAAAACAATTAATAAGAAATATACTGAATTATTGGCGAGCTTGGCTGGTCGAATGAAAAATAATATAATACATAAAGAAAAGAAACTGTTAATGTCATTAATAATAATAACAGCTAATCACGAAGAAATTATAAGATTATTGCTAGAAAAAAATGTTTGTTCTTCTTCAGATTTTAACTGGTTGGCACAAATGCGATATTATTGGATTGAAAATGAAATTAAAATTTCATTATATAATACTACAATAAATTATGGTTACGAATACAATTATTATGAGCAATATTTAGTGAATACGCCATTAACTGATAGATGTCTTCGTACCTTAATGGAAGCTTATAACTATCATTTATTCGGAGCTATTATTGGATCTGTGGCCACTGGAAAAATGGAAACTATTAAATATTTAATCAATTCTCTTGCAATGCCTTATTACATATTAAACACGAATGAAGGATTTACTTATAAATCAATACTGAATGTATTGAAAGGACTTATTTCTTGTGGAACATGGATTTGCTTGAAAAATTTAGATAAATTAGAATTAACTGTACTATCTGCAGTTACGCAAACAATCGTGAATATTCATCAAGTAATATCCACAAATTTAAAATCAGTTATGCTCGAAGGAACCAAATTAAATTTAAATCCAAATGGAAACATTTGCATTATTATGAATGTCCAATGCAACAAATATTACGAATTATCGGATAATTTGAAAATACTTTTTCGCACTATTTCTATGGTAAAACCAGATCTCAAGCAAATAATAGAAATAGAACTCTTAGCATCTGGTTTTTCCAATGGAAAAGAACTTGCAGCTAAATTGGTTTTGATCTATAAATTATTATCGGATCAATTATTAGACAGACCACATTATAAATTTGATTTGTCCTCAGTGAAAATAGTTATTAAAACTGCAAGGATGTTAAAAATTCATTTTCAAACTGAAGATGAAAATATTTTATTACTTCGTTCGGTAATCGATGTAATTTTACCAACATTTTCTAGCGAAGATATAATGATATTTCAGAATATAATACATAGTATATTTCCTAATACTAAATTACCGTCTCTGAATTATAATAAAATATTAATAGCACTAGAAAATGTATGCGAATCAAGATCATTGGATTTTCACGAAATATTGAAATTAAAATGTTTACAAATGTTTGAATTAATGCATGTTCAACATGCTCTCATACTTGTTGGTGGTCCTCTTACTGGAAAAACAGAAATGTTACATGTTATGGCTGATACTTTTACACTACTACATAAATGGAAAGATGATAATGGTGCAAAAATTACATTAGAAATGATAAATCCAGGAATTATCAACAGCAATCAATTATTTGGTCAATACAATAAAGAATTGAATTTATGGGAGGATGGTTTATGCACTAAAATATTTCGTACTTTTGCAGCAAGTAATTCATCAGATAAGAAGTGGTTGATATTTGATGGATCATTGAGCGACATATGGGTTGAAAATTTGTATACAGTAATAGATAGTAATAAATTCCTTCATTTAATTTCTGGAGAAAGGATTTCAATGACACAAACGATGTTTCTAATATTTGAAACTATGGATTTATCTAACGTTTCTCCTGTTATTGTATCACACTGTGGTATTATTTATATTGAATCACAATCTATCGGATGGAAACCGTACATATTATCTCATATCAAACAAAATCAAATGTATAATAAGTATGAGAAAATTATGTATTCGTTATTAAGTTGGTCTTTAGACGCTTGTCTTCAATTTTTCCGTTTGAATTGCTCGATGACAATTATTGTAGGAGAATTACATCTTGTAAGATCAACGTTAAGTTTGTTTGAAATGTATTTAACAGAAGCTTGTAACGAACTGTTGGAAAGAAATGAAAATTTAGATCATTTTGTTATTTGGTCGCAAGCAGCTTTAATATTATCTTTGGCATGGGTTTTTGGTGGAAATTCATCTACAGATTTCCAAGTAAAATTTAATGAATTTTGCGTAGCGCTTTGGAATAATTCTCACAGTGAATATCCATGTCCAGAAGATATTAAACATTATGATATTGCTTTGCCTACTGAAGGATTAATACAAGATAATTTGTATACTTTTAAAGGTGTTGGTAACTGGAAACACTATAATGATTTATTGAAAACTGAAATGATAACAGATATGTGTAACTTTGATCAAAAATATGTTCCAACTCTTAATTCTATTAAGTTCGGTCGTTTATTTCTTACACATATCAAATATTGCAAAGCTTTTATTATTTGCAGTAATGGTACAACAGGTAAAACTGTTCTTTTACAGAATTTATTAAAATATAAATTATCAAAACACAAATATTTAACAAACACTTTTAATTATTCTTCTCTTGTAACTGCAGAGAAAGCAAAGAATTTGTTTTTGTCTTACTTGAGTAGGATAAAAAAAAAATGTTATGGCTTACCAGAAGATAAATGTTGTATAAACTTAATTGATGATTTTAATCTAAATACCGACACTAATATCAATTCTAGCTCAGTACTAGAATTAATACGACAATATTTTAATAACGGATATTGGTATGATACAAAGATATTTGATAAAATCTTTGTCACAAATATTAACTTTTTATTAACAATAACTACTGGTTATAAAAAGCATAATATTTGTCCTAGATTCATGAGACATTTTAATGTTTACACATTTCCTGAACTTACGACGGATAATATATATAAAATATTCTCTAATATGCTTTTAACTAATTTAAAAAATAATCTTTTTAGTACAGACGTATTAAATTATGTAACAAGTATAACAAATGCTACAATTGATGTTTACAATTCAATATTTAATATCTTGCGTCCGATACCTACCAAAGTACAGTATTTATTTAATATCAGAGACATATACAAAGTTATAAGCGGTTGTAGTCTTATCCAAAAAGAATCAGTTGATGCCAAAATTGTATTCATTCGTTTGTGGGTACACGAAACGCTGCGTGTATTCGGTGATCGAATTTCAGATAACGACGATAAAGAAATTTTATATCAAAGTATAAAAGAAGCAGTGAAAAAATATTTCAAAGATTCATTTGAGTCTGCTTTTGATCATTTACCAAAATTTGAGGATAAAATTACTAAGGATAGTTTGAAATATCTTTTATTCGGTAATTTTATAGAATTGGATGAAACTTCATCGAAATATAAAAAATATGAAGAAATCAATTCTTTAGAAGTATTGAAAGATGCTATTGTATCTTACATGAATAATTATAATAATATTAATAACGAAAAGATCGATATTGTAATAACACAACAAATGTTGATATATTTGGTAGAAATTTGTAGAATATTGGCAATGCCCGGTGGAAATGCAATTATTATTTCAACCATTAGATCTGGTAAAAAATCCATAACTAAACTTGCTGCTTATATTCAAGAGCAAAATTTTTTTGAATCTACCATGGACTCGTATTATAATTTTAATATTTGGAAAGATGATTTAAAAAAGATATTACGTACTTGTGGAGAATCTCAACAAAATTGCACATTCTATCTCACAGAAAGACAAATGAAGAACACATTTCTTCAAGATATTAACAGTTTATTAAATACCGGGGAAATACCAGATTTATTTTCAACCGAAGAGAAACTCAGTATTATAGCGGCGATGCGTATACATGCTCAAAAAGGAGATTCAAATGCAGAAATAAATATTTCTGCTGTAATGGATTACTTTATAGAACAATGTAAAAATAATTTGCATTTTGTACTTGGCTTCAGTCCGATCAATAATACAATGAGAAAATATTTTTATTTATATCCTAATTTAATCAAATACTGTACAATCAATTATTATGATACATGGCCAGAAGATGCTCTTGTTGAAATAGCTAAAATTCATATAGAAATTATAGATATTCCAAAGAACATAAAAGATAGTGTAATAAAAGCTTGCATTCAATTTCATAATGATGCAAAAATAAATAGCTTAATGTATTTAAATGATAATGGAATACCAACTTACGTTACGAATTCAGCTTTTTTACACACCACAAAATTATATAAACATTTAATGACCAAGAAACAAGAACAAATTATTACTACTAGAAACAGATATATGATGGGATTGGAACAACTTGAAATAGCAGCGCAACAAGTTGAAAAAATGAGTACAACGTTAACGATTCTAAAACCTGAATTAGAACTATCTGCACAAAGAACTATCACGACAATGAAAGAAGTTAAACAAGAAAATTTAACTGTAGAGAAGGCTACGATTCTTATTAAAAAAGAAGAAGGTATTGCTAATAAAAAAGCAGAGATTGCTGCAGTATTAAAATCTGAATGTGAAGCTGATCTTGCTGTAGCTATTCCTATTCTCGAAGACGCTGTTGTAGCTTTAAACACATTAAAACCTACTGATATTACTTTAGTGAAAGCCATGAAAAATCCTCCTGACACCGTTAAGTTAGTGATGGCTGCAGTTTGTGTTATGTTAGGTGTAACACCAGATCGTATTGTTGATCCTGTTAGTGGGAAAAAAATAACGGATTATTGGGGTCCAAGTAAACGTATTTTAGGGGATATGAATTTCTTACAAAATTTGAAAGACTATAATAAAGATAATATACCATCAGCAGTAATACAAATAATTAAAAATGTTTATATGACAGATAAAAATTTTGTACCTCATATTGTTGCCAAAGCATCAAGTGCTGCAGAAGGACTCTGTAAATGGGTAAGAGCAATGGTATCTTATAATGAAATTGCTAAAGTGGTAGCTCCAAAAAAAGAAAAATTGGCAGCAGCTCAGAAAGAGTGCGACGAAGCAGAAGCATTTTTAAATGAGAAACGTCAAACTCTTTCTAATTTAAATATCAAATTAGCTACACTTAACAGTAATCTTCAAGACACTTTACAGAAGAAATTAAAATTAGAGGAAGAAGTGAATAACTGTACAATGAAATTACAGAAAGCAGAAAGCTTGATTGCAAGCCTAGGAAATGAAAAAGATCGTTGGTTACAATTAGCAGACAATCTTCAATTAAATTATGATAATCTAGCTGGAGATATGATACTATCATCTGGAATAATAGCCTACATGGCTCCGTATAACATCAAATATCGTGATAAAATGATAAAAAAGTGGATCAATCTTATAGAAATGTTAAACTTGCCATATTCAAAATCTTATGACTTTGTTAATATACTCGGAGTGGAATTAAAAATAAGTTCGTGGTACCTTTCTGGTTTATCTAAAAACAGATTTTCCACAGAGAATGCTATTATTATGGAGAATTCTAAACTATGGCCATTGTTCATCGATTCTCAAAACCAAGCTAATAATTGGATCAAAGAAATAGAGAAAAAGAATGGTCTTAAAGTAGTTAAATTTACAGATTCCGATTACATGTCGATCATACGATATAATATTGAACACGGTAATCCTATTTTACTAGAAAATATTGGAGAAGAACTTGAAGTTGCTATAGATTCAGTGTTGTTAAAAAATATTTATAAAATTGGAGATGATTGGTATTTAAAAATTGGTCAAATTATTACCAAATATTCTCTCAATTTTAGATTGTACGTTACAACAAGATTATCTAATCCACATTATCCACCTCACGTATATAGCAAACTTAATGTAATAGATTTTGCACTTCCTTGCGAAGCTCTTCAAGATAAACTCTTAAATATAATTATAAGAAAAGAAAAATTAGAACTTCAAGAACAATTTGAAAATATTTGGATAGAAGATACTATTAACAGAGAAGCTCTTAAGTTGCAAGAAGATAAAATTTTAAGTACGTTATCGTCTACCAGTACAAATATTATAGAAGACGAAAAAGCTATCAAGATATTGGACTCTTCCAAGACTCTTTCTTTGAATATAATTAAAAAACAGGAACAAGCAGAAGTTATGAAGAACGAAATAAATATCGTTCGAAGTACTTACACGCAATATACTAAATTTTGTGCTGGATTATTTACGACACTTAACGCATTATCAAATTTAGATCATATGTATCGTTTTTCGTTCTCATGGTTTATCCAATTATTCACACGTTCCATTCAAGGATCGAATAAAAATATTTCTCTCGAAAAACGATTAAAATTATTAAAGTATTCTTTCGCTCAAAATCTTCATTCAAGCGTTTGTAGATCTTTGTTCGAAAGACATAAGCTTATTTATTCATTTTTACTATGTTCTAAAATGTTATTAGACAATAAACAAGCAACAGAAAAAGAAATTCATTTCTTTTCTCTCACAGACATAGAATATTGTAATATTTCAAATGTGTTTCAAGTACCAGTTTGGTTATCAATGAAGACATGGAATAAAATTTGTTATATCAATGATAACTTATCTAATTTTAATGGTCTCGCACAAGACATTTCTTCTAACGACGTAAGCTGGAAAATATACTGGAATTCGGATCTCGTAGAAACTTTAACATTACCAGATCCGTGGGATAAAAAGTTAGGGCCGTATCAAAAATTAATATTAGCTAAAATTGCTAAGCCAGATAAAATTATTTATTATATCATATATTTCGTTGAAAATTATTTAGGAAAAATGTTTAATTACTCGTCTCAATATACAATGTCTCAATCATATGCAGAATCCAGTTGTCTTCGTCCGCTTTTATTTATTTTACCAAGTTACTCTTCACCTCTTTCTTTTCTTTCCGCTTACGCGAGTACCATCGGCTATTCTTCAAAATACATATCTCTTTCTATGGAAGATACACAGCAAAAGAAAGCTGAAGTTCTTATAAAAAAAGCTCAAGAAGACGGTGGATGGGTATTCCTTCAGAATTGTCATCTCGCTGTTCCATGGTTGTTTCAATTAGAAAAGATTTGTGAAAATTTGAATGCATCAAACACATCTTTAACTTTTCGATTATGGCTCTCTAGTTATTCCATTAATGAGTTTCCTATAAGTATTTTGCAAAACTGTGTAAAGATAACGTTAGACGATCCAAATAATATCAAAGAAAATTTATTGAGATCCTTTCAATTGAAGTCTATAAAAAATAAAGATATTTTTGACTGCTGTCCTGGGAAAGAAAAAATATTTATAAAGTTTCTTTACCAATTATGTTTCTTTCATATAGTTGTTAAAGAAAAGAATAACTTTGGAATGCAAGCTTGGAATATTCCATACAATTTTGATTATTCAGATTTCGAAACATCTATTCTCCTATTACAAGATTTAATAAACAATCATGAAAATGTATCAATCGAAGCTATATCATATTTTATTGGTGAATGTAATTATGGTGGTAAGATTATGAACAAATTTGATCAAAGATGTTTGAATCATCTATTAAGTTATTATTGTGATGATAATATAACAAATTATTCTCAGCACTTCTTTTCAAATAATCCGGAATATCTATTGCCTCGAAAATGTGAATACAATGAGATAATGAAACACATTAAAAATATGTCGATAAATCATCCCTCCAAAGTTTTTGGATCAGATGAAAATGCTCTCGCTATCAGAGATGCTAAAAAAACTAATGAATTTTTTACATATATGTCTTTAATGAATTCTATTATTTCATCTAAGATCAATGAATTTACTGAAGTGGATGAACTAATTATAATCGATAACATCGAAACTGAAATATCAAATATATCTGTCATTGAAAACATAGAAAATATTTATCATTCTACATTTTCAAATCCGTTGAATATTGTTTTAATATATGAAATAGAATTAATTAATAAAACGTTAATCGAAATAAAAGGAACCTTGACAGATTTGAGATCGGCGTTTAACGGTGACATAATATTGAGTAATTATTTAGAAGAATTATGGAAATTAATATACAATGGTCAAATTCCATATATCTGGAAAAAAGTATCTAATAATATGGAGGTTGCAAATCTTCCCGAATTCATTAATTATTTAATAAAGAAAAGAAAATTGATCAAAGATTGGATTGAAAACGAGCATCCTTATTTAATTAATTTTGGCGCATTGACATATTGCAAAATGTTTCTTTCTATATCAAAACTTATGTTTTCTCAGAAACATAATTTATCTATTACAAATATTTATAGAGATTTTGAAATATTGACAATCTATGATCCATCTGAAATAAAAGATAAATGTAATGATCATTATTACATTTATGGATTATATTTAATTGGTGCGCAGTGGGATTTACAAGACAAGATATTAATAAACAGCATACCTGGTAGATATCGTTATGACATGCCCATCATGTGTCTTAAATTTATCACACAAGAAACAATATTGGAAAACATTTATAAATGTCCTGTATACACTATTTGTATTGAAAATAATACAAACAAATTAAATACAAATCTTACACGTCCCAAACAATTACAAACGTTACATATGCATGTAATGACAGTACCTTTAAAAACAAATATATGCGTTGCACATTGGATAAGATGTGGTACTGCATTGTATCGTTAAATGTCAAATAATTTTTAATATAAATGTAAATTAATTATTAATTATATAAAATACATATTAAAACAAAAATGATAATATATATATCTAAAAATCTATAGAAATTAACAAAAAAGTGTCCTATAAAAAAGTTTACTTATAAAAATTATATATAAAATACAAACAAATATAAAATTATAAGATATATAAAAATTAATAATTTTTAAATAAAACGATATAATATTAAATATAATTTATAATAAATAAATAAAATGTTATTATAAAAAATTTTAAAGTATGTGAGTGGTAAAAGACTATTTGTTGAAATTTCAAATATTTCGCGGATTTGGTTCACATGGTAACATCCGGTTCGCCATTCCTTGACAAAGGAATGACAGTAGCAGTTTAAGGTTGAGAAAGAAATTCTCTTGGTTTTAAGAGTTCATAGAACAGAATAAAACAAAGATACACCGATCGAAATAAAACAAAGCATTAATCGATTGTGTTAGCGATTTAATAATTGGATATCATGTCGAACCACGATGAGTTACTTTCGCAATTTACAGATGTAACTGGTGTTGATTCAGAAAGAGCACAATTTTACCTTGAGTCATCCGCTTGGCAGCTAGAAGTGAGATTGCATTTTTTTTTTTAGATTTAATCTTATATTATTTATAATTCATTATAATATATCATATTATATGTTGCAAATATATCGACTATAATTTCATATAACCTTCAAYTTTTTTACTTTTAGTATTATTTCAATTCATAGATTCAATTATGAAAAGAAGTAATTTTATAGATGTTTTTTCTTTATTATTTTAAATTGACAGTTATTATTAATTATATTTAAAAAACGATTCGATAAAGATACTTCTATTAATACTTAAATATTTGTAATACCATTTTTTTATTTACAGCAATAGTTAAAGACAATTGCCTAATATTGCTTAATATAATTATAGGTTGCACTTGCAAGCTTCTTTGAAACCGACGAACCTCCTACATCGGCAAATGAATACGTCGCAGTTGGACTACAAGATGACAATATAGGAGATAATTCTAAGAGTACAGCGAAACAAAAAGGAAATAACTCAATGGATCAAAATACAGGAAATAAAAATAAATCCAAAGCAAAGCCTAAATTTGGTACGATAAGCGATTTGCGAAATAAGGATAGTAGTTCGGAAGAAGAAGAAGGACAAGCCTTCTATGCTGGTGGATCTGAACACAGTGGTCAACAGGTACTTGGTCCGGGAAAAAAGAATGATATCATAAGCGATATGTTTAAATCGTGTCAAGAACAATCTATTTCTATAGAACCTAGAACTAGTGGACAACAAAGACCAAATACGTTCAGTGGTACTGGTTATAAATTAGGACAAACTAGTTCAGATACAGAAGGTATATACAAATAATATTTTATCTCTTCTATTATTAATAAAATATTAATTAATGCATTTTCAGTTGTGTCAGGAGCACAGTCCAATCAACAATCTAATGCTGGTCTTATTACTTTGAAATTATGGCGCGATGGTTTTACTATAAACGATCATGAAATTCGACCATACAGTGATCCAGAAAATAGAGAATTTTTAGCTGCTATAAAACGAGGAGAAATTCCTGCAGAAATTCGACAAGAAGTTCAAGACGCAGAATTACGATTAGATATGGAGGATCATCGTCATGAAGAATATGTTCCTCCCAAAACTAAGGTTAAAGCTTTTACTGGGAAAGGACATATGTTGGGAAGGTATTATCACATATTTCTTTTAATAATTAATCTAGAAATATTATTTAATAATACAACAAAATCTATGTTACATAAAATGTTTACAGTCCATCTCCAGCTACCGTTGGTATGACAATTCCAACAGATCCAGCTGATCAAGCAGCTAATGAATCTCAAGCAAAAAAACAATTAAATTTAGATACAACTAAACCAGTTACTACAATACAAATTCGACTTGCCGATGGGAGCAGTGTACGAGCGCAATTTAATTTATCTCATACCATAAGTGACCTCAGAAGATATATAACAACGTATCCTTTAATGTTACATTTTAGCATTTAATATTTAATATTTAATATATATTTAAATTACAGTTTTATTTAAAAAAAAAAACATATTTTCTTTTACTATTCCATTTTCAGTATGAGACCTCAATATGCCATAAGAGATTTCAGTTTATTAACTATGTATCCAACTAAGGAATTAGCGGAGGATAAAACAATAGAAGAAACAGGTTTAAAAAATGCAACCATAATGCAACGACTAAAATAAGCTTTCTTATGAATCTAGTTAATCAAATTCAGAATATGTAATAATAACTAGATGGAAAAAAAAATATATTAATGAAAAAATACACCAAAATAATAAAAACAAAAATTTCTTCATATATTATATTATAAAAAATAATAAAGTAAATTGATTTTGCTTCTAAAACATGATATCATTATAAAGTTATTATAAAGATATCATTATAATAAAATAATTTAATATATCATAGCAATTTCATGCCGCATTATACATAGTTTTATATAACAAAAAATTAAGAAGAGGAAAAAGGAATTGTAAGAAGCATTCATCATAACATACGTATACATAATGTCCAATTAAAATAAGAAATAAAATTTGCATAAAATTTATCATCTTATAAACATATATTTATAAACGTCAAACTTTATACAATTATGGTACATATTTATACCACGCTTTACACTTCGATTGGATCTACATCTCGTAAAAAAATTTATGTTATAAAATATTTGTTCGATTATAAATTGTAATTGTTTTAATGAATACATACTTTTTATACCAAATGTTCATAATTCGTCAAGCAATGCCAAGGTACCTAACAATACTATTAAGAACATTTGTAACTAGAAAGATTATTTAATAATTAAATGTGCATTTTTATTGACAAAAGAGTTCATACGAGTTTAATAAAAAAACAAAAAATAAAAATAAAATTGATAAAGTAACAAAAACATATGCAAATAAAAAAACATTATTTAAGTTTTACTCAGTTATTCATCTAATGGCTAATAAGTCTTGTAAAAATTGGCGAATTTCTTATATCCTTAGAAAATTTTGGGATGGAAGTATTAAAAATGTCTTCTTGAATTTTTTTATCGTCGCTACTACAAATTTTGTAATTATGTACAAGAATCAAGTCTTTAGCCATTTTTTGTGTATAAACATTATTTTTGGATAATACCTCGCGCGGCTTTGATATGAAAATAGGATAATGATCTGTAACATCTGTATCAAATTGTACTTTTCTATACATGATTAATGTAAAGTTTGCGGATGGATTATTATCTAATTCTTTTGTACAAAGGGTAAAAATATTTAATTTGTAACGATCTGCTAGCAATTTGGATGCACTGTAATCAGCTAATAAATCTACAAGTGAACGATGATAACTTAACGCTATATATTCTTGCCAGGATAAAATAGAAATATACATCATTTTATTATACGTACGATGCAAACAATCAGCTTCTATAATATCTTTCATAATATTAGTATCAAGTCTACTAAAAGGAAAATTCCATGGTACTGTTGTATATGTAAAGTTTAAATGGGGAACATATATTGTAGATAATTCCTTCAAACGATTATTCAACGTATTAACAATACCAAAATCGTACGCTATGAAATTATTAATGCCTATTAATTCGTGAAAACTTATAAAAGTGATCATATCAATTTCATGCATAGGTTTTAACAATGGTGGTATTATGCAGACTGCTATACTATTGTCATTTAAATATTGTGGTTGCGTCGCAACGGAAAAGATAGGAACATTGGTATTATCTTTATCAAATTCTGTTAAGAACGATACTCCAACGGGTAATTTGTTTTCCTTATATGCACATATTAAATAATAACCATTATATTCCGCTTTTTCTTCTCCATTTTCAAAATACGGAGTGCTATTGATTACAATGTATTTATAAATACCTACGGATGGTTTTGTTTCGTGTTCAAAATATATATTACATTGTAAATTAGATACAGCACTTCTTTTACTAAAACTTATTGCATGAACTTTGTTATTTCCTAAATTGTATGCAGAATACACGTATAAATCATCGTTCAACCTTTGCCAAGATGAAGAAGGTTCATCTAATTTTATATTATGTTCTACAAACGATGCATTATTGTTTATGCAATTTGTGCTAATAGCTTTTTGACTTGGTTTACCAAAATAATTAAAAACTTCTAAAACGTATCTTAATCTATTATATTCGTGTCTATAGAACAATAGTGATACTAAACTTACAACGGCCACTACAACTAACGTAGCTTGATAATATTTTTTCATTTTACTATCTTGTTTATAATTAATGATCCTTTTTTAATTACAATTAGTCCCAAAATTAATTATTTATACTCGATTTTTGTTGTTGCGAGGTTATATTTACTTGCGGACATTGTCTCTTATAGCAATTAGAGGTTAAGTCCAAACAACACTGCAGAAAATGATTTTTTATTTGCTAAAATTATAATATAATAACATTATTATTTAACAAATTCACTTTAATCATCATACTCATGAAATTTTATTTTTATTTACCTTCAGCTTTCTATTTTTGTTTCTATTTACAAATCTGTAATATTCCCTGAATTTGATTTTGATTGAAAAGTAAAGTTTGATATAGCAAATATAACTAAATTTGAAGAAATTTACTATAAATATTTTTTAATCTATTATTTATAAAATCTTATTTGTATTATATTTTTAATATATTTTTTATAAATATTTTATTTTTTATATGAATCTCTTTCATGATTCGTTGACAGTTAACCAATTGTAGCAGCACAATATTTTCAAATTTAAATATAAATTAATCTACATTGCATAATTTTATTTGTAGAACAAATACATTTAAATATTATGAAAAGAATTTTTATTCTTTGAAAAAAAAAATATATGTAAGAAATAATTAAAGTAAAAAACATAATATTTTATTAGCATAAATATTTTGTATAATAATTTATTTTATTTACATAACTCATATTTATACAATTGCATATTGCTCATATAGCAATTCACGTACTTTATAATACTCCTCGGAAATACACCCTTCTAAAATTACTTTTCCTGCTTCGTGCTAGAAAAAAATGACGTAATTATTAGCACAAATGTATTTATAGTTTTATACAAACAAAAATAATTGTAAACACAAACCCTTCTGACAGCGATAGTATTGTTACAACACCATAAAACTCCTCCACTAAATTCTGATGGAATATTACTCCTATTTAAAACTTGCTTAAAGTCAGATAGTTTAAGTTCATTTATAAATGTAGTTTGATGTCCAGGAACCTATATATTATATTATAATATGTATTATAATGTATTTTGATATACGTTTACTTATATGTGTAATCATAGTTGTTCAATCTTATACCTCATTTAGCAATAATGGTTCAAGCGTAAGTATTTTATCGCTATTTTCTCCTATTTGACCGTTTTCAGCTACAGCATCTCGACAAACTGGATCACGAGCTGCAATCATAGCATCTACCCACGCAACCTCTGAATCACCTTTCCCTTTTGAAAAATTTAATCCACTTACTAAAGCATCTGTCAAACGAACCTGATTAGAAAAAAAGTTATTTTAATATATCAATAAATAATTTCTTTTTATAATTATTATCATATATTCAATTTTACTTGGTATATATGAGTTTCAGTTGTAGCGTCTAACGTTTCTCCTCTTGCAGGTGTAAAAACGCGTGCACCGGCGCTTTGAGCTTGTTGCGCTAATATTTCCGTATCTTTTTTGGATCCCCTAACAAGAACGACCCGTCGTGGCCTTAATTGTGCTAAAATCTTTTGTAGAGATTCACCATCCGATCTTCCTTCAAAATCAATATATGTAACGGATGCATTGACTGTCATTGTGCGCATAACTTGCATGCATTTTGTTGGAATATCGGTAGGTATTTCTGGGTGATGTAGGGTTTCTTCTTGTTTTGTTTCGACATTTTCTTTATTATCTTCTATCTCTGGCATGGTCTCTGCTATCTTATAATCTTCTGGTCTGTTATATAAGAAATAATTTATTATTGTAATAAAATTGTTTAAAAAAATTTTTACATAAATTTAAACGGAAACACTTTACCTTATAATTTCACCGTATTCATCTATCTTAATTTTTTCTTCAATGAATGGAAACATAGGATGTTGTTTTTTATTTTGTTTAAAAAAACCAGGCTTACTCTCTTGTTTTACCAACAAATCGTGTTTCCCTCTTCCACTCCCTACTTCTATTTCGTCTTCCGACTCCGAGCTAACATCTGCAGTTTCCCTAATATAACAATTCCTCAAACTTAAAATAAAGTTATTATTTCCCACTGAATAGTAAATAATATACATATTCAATATTAAACGTACATTTGCTCTTGTTTCATTTGTTCTTGTCTTAATTTTTCTTTTTTTAAATATTCTTCTAATTCTATACCCTCCAATTTAATACGCTTTTTAACTTCTAAAGAAATATTTCTGTTTCCTCCTTTTTCTACTAAATCTCTAGCGAGTGTTCCAGGAGATGTTCTACTTGTTATTATAATGCTGTTCTGTGGATTAGTACACCACTGAAGAAAAAGTTCCCGCGAGAAACCGCATTCCATATCCGGAGTACTTGCAAGTACTACCTAAAATTCATTTTGTAACGAATATAGCTTTAAGCTATTTATTATTTTTCTTAAGAAAAAAATATTTGATAGTTTTATACCTTTGGGCTTGGAACTTGAGTTAATTCAGCCATACTATGACAAAGTTGTAAATGCTTAAATTGAAAAGGATTATTTCTAGCCCCTTCGAAACTCCTCATCAGTTTATCACTCATCCATTCAATTTGCGATTTAGCAAACTCGACTACATTATAACTGACATTGTTCAAAAGTGCCAATGAATAAGCAAGAAGTCCGGATTCTTTATTACGCCATAATTGATCTAACATGTGTGCCAGTTCTAACACTCGTCCAGCTGTATCCACGCTAACAAGAACATTTCCGCCACCTCTTAAGGTTTGTAAAATATTTGCTTAGAACAAAAAATAAATTACTAAATAAATGTCATTAACATTAAGAGAGAATGCATTATTGTATTAATAACAACATACTCATTAATTTTTCATCTCTAGTTCTACGTCTAGCTTGTTGATATGTGGCATTAAATGCATCTGTTATGAGTAACGATGGTCTTTGCAATCTTTCCAATTCACATCCATTTAAATGACGTTCTTTCTTATGATTGAAATCAACAGCATATATTATATCTTCTTCTCCTACTTTAACTATTTTCCATATCGTTCCACCGATCATGTGTCCTGCAGGTAAAGGTGTTAAAGTAACACCATAACCTTTACCTTTCATTGATATGCTTTGATTATATTTCAATTGTACTATTTTATCAAATGCAGCGTCTACATCGTCCAAAGTAAATAAATCAAAGTCTTCCATGTTATGACGAGACTAAAAAAGAAAGAAAATTTCAAAAAGAATTTAATAATGTATAAAGTAAACTGATATTTAAATATTTTTTAATACAAGGATACTACCTGATACATGTCGTACATAAACATTTGTCCCATTTTGTAAACAGGTATAGTCGCATAAATAGGACAATTTAAACCGCATTTTCCAACTAAGTATGGCAATGCTCCTAAATGCAACGGATCTGGATAGGAAAGTAAAACTGCATCTATTTGATTAACATGTCTAAAAAAATCAACGTAAACAAATTAAATCTTTTAGATTAGAAAAAAAAGATAATATTAATATTAATCTCAAATATAAATGAATTATGTACCTTTTTAATTCTTTTATAAAATCTTGATCAAAATTTTCATCCCACCCACAATCAAGTAAGATTCTTAATTCATCGACTTGTAATATGTAACAAGGCGGAGACTCGTCCATTGCTCCTGATATAGCATGAAGTTTTATTATTGACGTCATTTTGATTCTCTGTTTAAATTATTTCTGGAATAACTCTCTTAAAATTTAATAATTTTTTCATCAAAACAAACTTTCATTTGTAGGTTATTCCAATCCAAAACACTACGAAACATATGCAATGCCCTCTGGTATGTAACCAATGAAGGAATCGATAAAGATCTAACAAGAATTACTAAAACAAAAGAAGAAATTACAAACTTTAATGAACGCTACAACTCCCGTTTAGCTAAACATCCAAATCATTTAGCACAAAAATTGCTAGAAAATAGGGTTCTACCCTTCCGATTTAGAAATAAGATTTGGTTAATTAATAATTTTGTTATCCTACGAGAGTGATGTATGATTACACTTATCATTATAACTTTTCTTATATTTACAATTTATGTTTATGTATCACGTTAGCATAAATTACCTATAATTGTTGAAAATTTATTGTATTTTCTTCTACTAATAAAACATAAAAAATTTATAAGTTATACTTTTTTATAATCACAAACTAAAACAATAATATTCCTATGTTACATTTATACGCCAGAAAATTATTTAAAAAATATGTGAATAAATATAAATGTTTAATTTAGGTTCAGAAATGTTCAAAAACAATAATTAATCATTAAAAATATATTTGAATTACAAATGATAAATGCTCCTTCTAAAATTTTTCATATAAATTGCGGCCAGAATTTGTGCAGAGATTACACATAAAATTGCACTAATAAAGGTTTTAATTGTTTATGTGTTAAATATAATATTTGTTAATAAGTGTCAAATATTTTTGGTTTAATAAAAATTTGATGTTTGTGATTAATTTTTCTGTAATAAACCAGTGACCTTCTTAATTTGTTTTTTAAGATTTTCCCGCGCGTATTTTCAAGGTTAATTGGTTTACATTGGGTGTATTAGTTTAGTCAAATCTATATGTAGTTTATCTCACATGCGCAACGTTTTGTTGTATATGTCGTGACACTGCAGCAGGTACTTTTTTTAAAGCATTCATCAATGTGCAATTAATAAGTGCCTGACAGTAATTATATTTCTTTTTATTGTCATCAGCTGATCTGTAATTAAAAGCATAAAAGGAGTATAATTTGAAGTCAGTATAATCTAGTAAAGACGTATCATAAGTTCATTTCTGAACAACCACTTCGATATTTAAACTTTAAACTATTTATTCAGGTTCATATAGATCATTTTTTAATTTATAGATAAAATGTATGAACCAGAAGGTTTTATAAGACCAGAAGTGCAACAATGGTTTTCCTTAGTGGATAAAGATGGAAGTGGTCAAATTACAGCAACTGAATTAAAAGCGGCTTTAGCTAATGGAAAAGGTGGAACTTTTTCAGAATCAGCTTGTAGATTGATGATCAGTGAGTACAAAAATAATATATGTTTAAAGTATATTCAAATATATAGTACAGTAATTGATGATCATTTTTTATATTATATTGCAGGTATGTTTGGTAAAAAACAAAGTGGTTTTTTAGATTTACAAGAATTTCAAGAGGTATTTAAATATATCAATTCTTGGATTGATTTCCTACGTAATATTGATCTAGACCAGTCTGGAAGTATACAGGAATATGAATTAAATGCGGTATTAGAAAAAATGGGTTATAAAATTAGTCCTACATTTGTTCAATTTCTTATTAAGAAATGTGACCCCATTAATGGTCAAAGTATGAGTGTCGATCAATTTATTGTTTTTTGTATTCAACTAGAAAAGTTTACAGGTAAAAGAATTGTTGTATCAGCTGTTGATAAAAATATACATTTTTATAAGATTATCAGTAAATATTGTTGTCATAAAATGATTATTTTAGTAATCATTGTCTTACAGGTGCGTTCAAAAGTAGAGATACGGAAAGAACAGGAACTATTTCTATTGGATTTGAAGATTTCTTGATGATAGCTTTTGATTGTAGCTTTAACTAAATATTTTATTAACTCTGATTAATGCTAATTATATTTAATTAATATTAAGAATGATCATTAATAATGATCATTAATAGTTTGCTTTCCCCATTATTTATCTTAATTATTCTACATTTTAAACTCTATATTATTACATTATTTTTATATATATAATATATAAATACATTATTTTAATAAATCTATATAAAAATATAATACATTAATGTTACATATTAATTTGTTCATTTAAATTTCGTGGGGAACATTTAGCTTCACTTTGTTTTAGTGACCCTATAGGAGGGACGCGCCATGTACATTGCTGGGGGACAGGAACGCGTGTAGTTACGTGATTGCGCGCAAATGATTCAACTAACCACAGCCGTTAATACATACTAAAGATAAACATGGCTGCGCGATGCAACGGAAGTTGTCCCCCCACATTTTCAGCCTAGCAATGTACATGGCGCGTCCCTCCTATAGGGTCCCTATTTTGTTTTAGTGCCTAGTGCCATCTATAAGAGATATTTTAAATTAAAATTATATTTTATTCTGGAGATCTACCGTCTTCAGTATTTTATATTTTGATTAAAATTAATAAAATTTACTGGTACAAGTGCATTATTAATAATTAGTTTTATTTAATACTATAATTAGAAGTGTTATTAAAAGTGGTGTTTTGTTATTATAGCTCCTGATTGTCCTTCGAATTATACTTCTGTTAATATTCTAAGTAATGAAATTTTCACCAAAACAATATTTGTATATAATATTTAATTAGTGTATATTATTCTATATGTAATAATTAAATCCTGTAACTTTTAGAATGAATTTTCAAAATAGTACCTCAAATGACAACATCAAATTAATTATAATATGCAGATTGAGATATCACATGACAATTTAATCGTTTATCTGCTAAACTTATGTAATTAATATATTTATTTAAGTATAATATAAGATTTTCTATTTAGGTATTCTGAAGATCCAATAAAATATGAATCAGATTCACAAGATCATGTATCTATATGGACAAAACAAGCTCGGAAAAGAATACAGGAATATGCTAGACTCTGGAGGGCTCGACAAATCTTAGATGCTATATCTTTTATTAATGAATTATTTGTTGATAGCTCAGAAATTGAAATACTGAGTCTCGTTAATGTCATTGCAAGAAGATTGAAATTTTTAGGTGTCCCAGACACTTTGGAAAAGAAACAAAATGGTAATCTATTTCAATTTTATATTAAAAACAAACAAATAATGAATAAGAGAAGGAATAGAAAATAATTTTAAAAATTACAATAATTTCTTATAGATATTGGCCATAATGAGAACAAATTATTTCCGTTGAATCAAAGACACGACGGTATTTACCATTGTTGTACATTTTGTTCGAGTGGTGGGAAAAAAGATGTTATCTGTGCTTGCGGAGGAAGAATGCCTGGTACGAATTAATCTATACATTTATATAGATATTTTTTAAATTAACATGTTAAGTGTCATATTGGTCACTAGTGATTGATAATATATTTTATGACCAGGCATGTGTTTGTATAGCTGACAAATTATTGTGGCTTAAATGAAAAGTTCAATAAAAAGGCTAGACACTTAACGTGTTAATATTGTGTTATGATAAATAATATATAAAAAGATGATTTAATAAAAGGTGGATATCATGGATGTGGACATGGACATGTTGGTCACCCTGGTTCTAACCATTGGTCTTGTTGTGGATCACTTTTACGAGATGGACATTGTTTAATAACTCGAAGATATAAATACCAGTTTTTACTATAATACTTACTGTACATCCTGTCGATATGTGGTTGAAGATGTTAGCTGCGAGTACTTCTAATAGATAATATTATTACATTAATTATTATTATCTATGTTTTATGTAAATGTACAAATACATATTATTTTCATTATAAATTTACATATATACATATATAATTGTTATGAATAACAATTTGCAAGTACTAAAAGCTAGGACATTGCATAACAGTACCTCAAATGACAGTCTTATAGTTAACGATGATATTTTTTCATCCTATTGTTTAAATCACATGACAATTTATCAAATATATAAAAATAAATACCATAAATATTTGTTTATAATATAAGGAATGTACGGTTGTTATTTAACGTACCATTGATCAATGAAATGTTCTTGCTCATTAAATATATCATTGGAAAATACATCTTCGCTGTAAGATATGAGTAAAGAATTTAAAAGTGTTTTTGCTTTTTCAAGCATCGTTGTTAAATACGCGGCGGCTCTTCTTCCAGCACCAATAGCATTTTCGCTAGCATGTCCTCTATGTTCTATACTCCACATACACTCTTTGCAACATATCTAGAAACATAATATTCAGAGTATTCGATAATATTTCTAATTAGATATAAATAAATATATTTCTTTTTTATAGAATAAAATGATATGTAAAACCTGTTGGCATGCATTGCAATAGTATCGCAACGCATTTGAGGTATGTATTTGACAAAGTATAGTGCGACGTATTCTCGTTGCTTCCCAAAGAGGTTTTATTATGTGTTTGCCTTGTTTTAATTCCATTCTTGTTTGTTCTTCATGCTCGTTACCACAATCAGAACAAAAGTTGCGCAAACACGCGCAACATTGTACAACTGCCTATAATTATCATCAAAATGAATTAACTTTATATATTAAATTTATTTCATTAGCAGTATTATATCAATAAGAAGCATACTTACAACTACTTCATCTGGACAAGTATCACAGAGTATCCTATCAGCCAATTTACGACGCATAGCATCCATGACAAGCCTATGTTGTAATGGATAATGCGGAGGTGGAATTATAAAATAAGTGCTTGATAGACAAAAATTACACAGGGGACATCTTTCATAAATATTACATATCGGATTAATGTTTTCGTTCTTCTGTAACTTACTTGAGTCAACATTATTAGCTATAAACCAAATTATAAAGTATAATTACCATTAAGGATTATACAAATCATCATTCGCTTTGGAAGAATATATTTAACGAGATATTGCATGACTAATTTCTCTTACCTTTTTCGATTAGGTCAAAGATGCAAGGAGAACACATGGCATGCAAGCAAGGAAGAAGTCTAGGTTCTCGCATTTTTTTACCACATCTTGAACATAAGAAATCTTTATTTTCATGAATATTTGGAATTATTTGCATTTTATCTTCTTTATTATGTTCACTGTTTAAATTTTCATTATCCGAAAACGTGTAGGAAAGCGAGCCTATTTTTTGTTCCATACTCCACCTTAATCCATTTCTTGCAATACAATCATTGTTAATTTTATAACATGAAGAGAGAGAGAGAGGGAGAGAAAAAGAATAAGAGAGTCTAGATTTTTCTTTATTTATAGCCATATTAAATAAGACAGATTACGTGTCTTTATTTATATATTTTGTATTGTTCATTAATTAAAAATATGATTTAAATTTATTTATAAATTTATATCGTGTTACCTTGCATCAGCACTTATGCGTTTTGATTCAATCGTAATAATTGATTGATTATTCCTATATTTTTTCTTATTGGTAAAATAAGTTACGTTTTCATTATTATTATATTTATTACTTTCGATTTCTTCTTCGATCGTTTTTCCGTTACTAAAACAATTCTTTTCCAATTGATTTTTAACAGAACAGTTCACCAATTCCATGAATTCCATTGATTTACTATTTATTATTTTAGATTATATTAAGATAATAAAATTAATTAAGTTTTTTTTTAAAATTACATTATTTTTAATAATTAATTTAGAATAAATTCGCGATACGTTGCTTTACTTCAGTAGGAATGTCTTATAGACTACTCTTCTCAATTTCAGTAGAGAATGTATCTGGTTAAAAATAACATTAAAGGTTGTTCACGCTGGTTTAGACACTTTTCTGCCTGGGTGATGAACAGCCTGAAGTAGATTATAGTATTTTGTGAGCGAAATAGAAAACAGATATATTCTATTTGTGTTTGGATTATATTTATATTTTATAAAATAAACATATAGGAAACATTGTCATAGTTTTTTATCACATATTTTAACATCTAAAAATATATAGTATTAAAAAAAAGGAATACAAAATGAATTACTGCTAATCTAAATTGATTTGTTTATTTTTTAAATAAATTTGACATTTAATAAAATTTCTTTACCACGGGCACTGTGAATAATAAATTTTATTCAATGTTCATATACGTGTAAAAATAAGATTGGCGATGTAAATATAGAGGAGTAAATAGTATACATACAAATCGTTTACAGATTAGAAGTAATTATAATATGTATATATTAATATTAATTTAAATATAATTCTTCAAGGCCGTAATTGTGTAATTTATAGAAACTTTCAAAATTTTTTTTAGCGTTTTGTTGTAACATTGCTAATAACTACAGTTTATAAATAATTAGCAATTCAAAGTGCTAACGAATACGTAATAAAAAATTAATTTTCAAAAAGCGTAAAGAATATAGAATAAGATCAAAATTGATTTCTTCAAAATAATTATAAAAAATTCCCAAGGTCACTCCTCCGAGATCTTTTTTTGACTTGATTTACGCAAGGGAAAACGACATTTATCGTACCCTGTATAGTAATATTGCACTAATTTATAACGAAATCAATCATTTAAGTGCAATGAAGAGATATAATCGTTATATTTTTATATTCAAACATTATCTACTTTGTTCGGTCCTTTTTTTTACAAGTTTTAACTTTAAAGATGATGTTACTTTTTTTGTTTCATTATTTTAAGGTACTTAGTGTAGATTACAGCCCCATAACTGACTAGTACTGTATGTTTGGCCAAATGTACACACATGTGCGTTAATTATTTCAATATGATTTTGTGAACGCAATAATACTGGAACATAAAATATACATAATATCAGGATAATACACTATTCTATTTATAAAAAAAAATCTTATTTGATTTTTAATGAATTACCTTAAATTTTCATTTGTTTTTACTTTCACAAACCATTACGAGTTTTACCATTTCTCATGTGACTATTACTTCTTGTCTTACAGTGTTCAAATAAGACGTCATAAGAATCAGCATCCGAATCTGACAATACCATTTTAGTGTGCGGAACTGTAAAATCAATTTTAATTAGCTGTAACAATTGAACATTTTACACAGCATATTAACACGCAAAGAATATACCATCATCTTCTGGTTCCGGTTGAAGAAGAGAATAACGTGCTAGCTTTTTCTTTGGACGCAATATTCTTCTCTTACTAGTGCACATTCTTTGACACATGCAGATAAGTCCCCAAACAAGTCCAACCCAACAAACAACCAAGGATAATAGGGCTATTAATACGTACAAAATACTCCAGTCTAAAATATACAATTGGAACATTGTTAATAATTAAACAACTTAATTATATCGATATATACAAAATATTAACATACCGCAATTTGATTCTCCATTACCGAAATATTTTTGGATTAAATTTTGCATCCAAAATGCTTCGCACATACATTGTCGTGTTTCTTGATCACACACCCCATGACCTTATTTAAACAAATATTTATTATTTTTCTTATTATGCTAATATTATCATAGTTATATTATATCCATGAAAATTACCTGAACAATTATTTTGACATAAAGCTGTATCAATATTTGCTACAGACAATTGTAACAAACCAGAATCTTGTTTGAGTTTCTGTTTCAATCTTTTTACTACCTCCGGACCAGACATCATTTCTTTGCCTCCTTTTTTTTCTACGTAAAATATTAATACTGCTTTTCCTGTACGCGGTTCGGCTCTTAAATTTCGTACGACGATGGTAGCTTCATCTCGTAGCAACATTTGCAGTTTTACAACAAGAGAATTTTTTTGTAATTCTGTTAATACATTAGCGCCTATGTTTAATGTCAATTCTACCAAATGCAACAATTGAGGATCTGTAAATTAATTAATACGTTAATTAGGAACACTTATACATTTGGTTTCAATGCTACTTTATTTCAGAATATTACTTGCCTGGTTTTACAATGACAGATACGGTATCTTCGTTACTTAATCCTTGTTCATCTGTTACTTTCAGTTTAAAAAGATATCTGCCAGGCACGATATCCGTTAACTATTATCATTCAAAGAATAATTATTTATATTAATTCATAATGTTATTTTATTATAAACAAAATAAATAATTACCATTAGTATTGGTGATTTATCTGTTCCTTCAATTATAGTACCAACCGCGAGACTTGATGATTCTCTTGTCCATAACCATTGTCCGATACGTAAATCATCAGAAGATTGAGAACCGTTAAGGATCAAGGCAACAATAGGAGCTATTATAACTTGATCACCACCAGCATTTGCTTTAGGTGCTGCATTTTTATCTTTTGGAAATAAATAATTAGATGAATATTATTTTAATATAAATAGTGCAAAGAGCTAAAGTTTTAATATGAAAATAGAATACATACTTTGTGTCACTTTAACGGCAACCGTATCAGAATCTGTATTTCCATTGTCGTCAATAACTGTTAGCTTGAATAGATAATCTCCTTTAGTTAATTTAGTTACATTTGTAATAGATTCATTTACTGCAGAAAAATCAACTATGCTGGGACCACTATAGTTATAGGAATACGTTAGCAGTGACATAGAATATAAAATATATTAAATATGTAATATAAATAATCTTACCTTATTTGTTTCCAACGATAAAAAACTATTTTGATATCGTCTTTGCTCTTTCTACCATCTAACACTGTTCGTGTCTCTGGCAATGCAATGGTTATATTCTCTCCAGCATTGGCTACAAGGAAATAATCGTTAAAATTATTATTAAATGAAATAACACTTAAATATAATGTTAACTAACCTTTTGGTGGTTTATTCGTAGGAGGTTTCACAAAAACATGAACTTCGGCTGAAGAAGACTGGCCAGAATCGTCGGTTACTTTGAGAACAAAAGTATACATTCCTTCAACTAAGTTTGATAAATGTAAGTAAGGGGTTCTGGTAAATTGCATGTCTACAGCTTTGTTTTGATCAGAAGGACTTTTTGTCCATTCCCAGCTTGCTATTCCTCTATCGTCTGTACTTAAGTTTCCATTAAGTATCAATGTATTTTGAGGTAAATAAATTATAACATCTTGTCCTGCGTTAGCACTCGGCGGATAATCGATTACTTTTAAAACAGTTATATTGGCTTTAGTAAAATTTGTGACATGATCGGAGTCTTCAACTGTTAGTTTAAAAGTATAGTTTCCAGCTATAAGATTATCTAATTGTAAAGTAGGAGTATCAACTAAATTAGGCTGATATCCAATAGGACCTTGCTGCAGTTCCCAATGATAAGAAATTATGTGATCATCGTCTTTACTCGTCGATCCATCCAATACAGCTCCAGTATTAGGCAATTTAACGACTTGCGAGGCAGGTGAAATTATAGCAATCGGTGCTTGGTTTATTCTCTTAGCTAGTATTTAGAAATTAAAAATAATAATTATTTTAATGTAAAAGATTTTGTAAGTTTTACAAAGTATTTAATAGAATATTTGATAGAATAACTTACGTGGTAAAACACTAACGTTAGCGTATGCTTCTCCATAAGCATTTGGGCTACTTACAGCTACTTTAAATCTATATAAGCCTTCTGATAAATTACTTAATTTAACAGTTATACGATTTTGATCGATCATTGTTCCTGTATGACCTTCCGGTTGACTAAGTAAACTCCATGCATAATTATAATGTTCATTTTCTTGTTCGGCAGGCATAGTGTATGCCGATAATGTTACTTCATTTTCTGGCAAGCGTACTTCTTTAGAAACTGCAGATACTAATAATTCTTTTAAGATAGGCTTCGCGGATGTAGTTGTACCTTTAGAAATTTGAGCATTCATTTGAGGAGTAACACCAAGTTCTGCATTTTCCATTTCATTTATCGCCATGCAAGTACCTATAATTTGAAATATGTCATTAGAGAATTCTTAAGATTAAATTAAATATGAATTTATATATAAAAAAATGCTATGAATACCAGCAATATTTCTTTTGAATCCCAAATCGCACCGACAAACGCTAACATCATCTTTTTCTTCGAGTCTGATACAAATTTCGTTAGGTGCACAGTCAGATTGGTACATGCAATTAATGGTATCTGTATCAAATACGATGCGGTTATCGTCGATGTTGTCCATTAGTAATGGTCTATAAAAATTATATAAATATTTTAGTATCTCGCAAGAGAATATCTTCAAATATATCAAATATTTACCTAGTTTCATCATTAGCTTGACTCAACAATTCGCTCCACATTTCATTATCTTTAACCGGTTTGACCAAAACCATGCTAGGTGGATTTTCATTAGATAAATTAGGTCTGTATAATGGCAAGCACATTTTGGAATTAGTGCATTTCACGTGATAACACGTGTCGTTATGCATAAGAGCAACATTACAATGTAACTCATTACAGCACGTAGTGACACAACGTTCAATGTCTGTTACATCAGTCCGCGTAGTGAAAATATTTAAAGATAAATTTCCACGAGGCAAATATTTGGTAAATGCATGGGGATATAAGCTCGAACACATTTGCTCGAACACTGGATTTCCATCCCAGTCTGAATAATGTCCAATGCAAGCTCCGAATAAGAATAAATAAAGTCCCAAGTAATAAATACAAAACATTTTAACTGCAATCAACGAAAGGAAAGATTTAATCAGAACTGATTTATCAGTTTTATATATTCTAATCAATTCTGGTGACCATAAAAATCAATATATTCTTATCGCTTACCTTATATGATATTTTTTCAGAAGAACGATAAATATTTCACTGTAAAATTAAGTTATAGTCTTAAATGTTCTAACATACAATACGTGTAACAGTTTATACATAAACTGCATTCACTAATAGCCGACCATTCGTCCCTGCGACATTATTATAAAATAATTCGCAGCTGTGTACGGTGAATAAGGCTTATCATATATTATTAGCATTTTATTATCATGACCAGCAGCTAATCAACTATAGGGGTAATTATCATACTTCCTGCTAAGTTAGAGGAAGGAAAAGTTTTTAATAATGACTGATATAATACTGG